CTATTTTTTTTTAATGTTGATTGTTTATTACTGGTTCCTCTTGCTAGAATATAAGCTCCATGGGGGCAGTGATTTTTTTGTTTGTTTGTTTACTGATATATCCTAAGTGCCTAGAACAATACTTGGCATATGATAAATACTCCATATATAATTGTTAATTTAAGTAAATGAAGGGAGGAAACACTATTGTGTTAAAAATATAGTTCCATGTAAAACTTTAAGATCACATAATATGGTGTTCATTATAACCTCTTACTCACCTGTAACATTTTTAACTTCATCCATCAACACATTCAAAGCAATCTTCTCATCTTTAAGACAAAAAAGCATCAAAAAGATTTACAGAAAAATGATATAAAATCCTTAAATTGTGAAGTAGAAACCCAAAATTCAATCATTAGAAAACATTTCTCTAGAAGTTTATTATTTTTTTCACATCAGATATTTATCAATTCAATTAATATAGCTATCTGCCCTACAAACTATCAAAATGCATAAATAACAGTGCAATGGCAAAGTTTAAAGCATTCTCCTTTCCTTAAGGACAATTTATTATTAAGTCAGTCTTTCCAGGGGTTGGAAATTTTTTGAGAATTAAAAAAATTTTATTTAAAAATAGTATTTCCATTTTGTCAATGCTGACTTTTCCTTTAGGATTATGATCACTTTGGCACCAGTGATCCACTACAAGATTAAAGTGTTGGTATGCATGTCTGTTTGCTCTTAGGTTGCCAATATGATAATTATCATGTTTATGTATTCAGTTAAAATCCACTTGTGATGACAAAACTTTTGTTTTGCAGTGACCATTCTCAATTAAATGACATTTTCATAGACCACATACTTATGTTTCTTTGGTCAGTATTTCTCAAATTAAAGTCTGAAGCCACTGAAGGTCAATGGATACATTTTAAACAGTTTGTAAAATTGCAAGTTTGAGAAACACTAGATTGGGATGTTAAAGAAAATAGTTAAAAGATGCTGGCCGGGCGCGGTGGCTCACGCCTGTAATCCTAGCACTCTGGGAGACCGAGGCAGGCGGATTGCTTGAGGTCAGGAGTTTGAACAAGCCTGAGAAGAGCGAGCCCCGTCTCTACTATAAATAGAAATAAATTAATTGGCCAACTAATATATATAGAAAAAAAACATTAGCCGGGCATGGTGGCACATGCCTGTAGTCCCAGCTACTTGGGAGGCTGAGGCAGGAGGATCGCCTGAGTCCAGGAGATTGAGGTTGCTGTGAGTTAGGCTGATGCCACGGCACTCACTCTAGCCTGGGCAACAAAGTGAGACTCTGTCTCAAAAAAAAAAAAAAAAAGATGCTATTACTCTAATAGGCAAGATTCAGTTTGGAATCTTTTTTTTTTTTTTCCCTCTGTCACCCGGCTACAGTGCCATGGTGTCAGCCTAGCTCACAGCAACCTTCAACTCCTGAGCTCAAGCAATCCTCCTGCCTCAGCCTCCGAGTAGCTGGGACTACAGGCATGCACCACCATGCCCGGCTAATTTTTTCTATTTTTAGTATAAATGGAGTCTCTCGCTTTTGCTCAGGCTGGTCTCGAACTCCCAACCTCAAGCAATCCTCCCACCTTAGCCTCCCAGAGTGCTAAGATTACAGGCATGAGCCACTGCACCTGGCTTCAGTTTGGAACCTTAAAGCTGCCGATGGGCACATTCATTTTCCCCTTATGACTTGGTAAAGCTGCTAACCCATCACTGCTAAAATATGTTCACACTGTTGTATTATTTGTAATACACCTAAGACTTTAAGTTCTCCTGAGGATGAAATACCAAGAATTACTTTGTATTACTACTGCTACCTAGGCATTAGTTTAATGGTTTATACAAGATTGATGCTCTATAAAAGTTGACTAAATAATAATTATAGTAAAATGCACACATAGAGAATGAATTAACTTTAAAACTAATATATATTCTAAATTATTAGATGGAGAATCTATTTTTTTGTTATTTTATGTCTTTTTCATTGTGATAATCTTTTATTGTTTATTAATAGTTTATAATACTTTATTATTATTATATATAGTATTATATAAAAGTCATTAATAATTTTTAAATAGGATAAGGAAGAACTTTTTTGGATAGAAGTCTGTGCCTGTAAAGGACAGAAGCCATCACACCCTTCACTTTCTATGTCTCCAATTAGCTCCACTGGTGCCCATGGGGGGTCTGAAACAATTTTCTATCCTATCTCAGATGATTACATAGATGTACAAGGTACTCCACAAGAATTATATTAATAGCCTCACATTTCAAATAAGCTGCTGGTGATGTTCTAAGATACTAGGAAAACAGGGCAACCACAAAAATCTACATTTATTACTATGAAAAGGATTTAAAAACCGAAGAAAAAGTCATTTTTTGAAAAACTGCTTATTTTATTAAGGAAAAGGTATCAAGGCATAGAACAGTGCCGATACACTATAGGCTTAAAGTTTTTGGAAAGAATGAAAAGTACCACAGATTAGAAAAGCACATACAGTATTCATTGACTTGGATTAATTTTATATTTTGCTATTTCCTCTAGGGGCAGGAGTCCCCCAAATTTCCTGATGAATTATTCTCAGTTCCACTAGCATGAGACAATCCAATATACGCCAAATTTAATTAATTTAATTCATAACATTACTATATACCTTCTTAATTTGTTAACTCTAGTAGTTCATGGAAGATATAACACAGTGGTTAAGAAAAGTTTCTGGAGCCAGATTTCCTGCGTTCTTCCTGGCTCCACCATTTACTAGTTCTCTGATTTGGGCAAGCTTTGACTTATCTGTGCTTTATTTCCCTATATATAAAATGAGAGTAAAATAGAACCTACCTTATAGAGTTGTTGGAAGATAAATAAGTCGATACATGTAAAGTGCTTAGAATAGTGACTTCTACATGTCATGACTATGTGGGTTGTCGTTGCTATTTGATGCTGGATTAGCCGTAGGGACTAGAAGATTAATATCCTGAGTATTCTTGTCAGACGTTGCATTTCTTGTGGTGTTACATGGAGATCTATATTGACATTTGTTGGCAATATTCTTGGTGATTCTTGTCAGGTAGTAGCCATTGGCTCAGCTTGATAGCTATGGTGAAGACCTTACTCTTTCTTTTTTCATATATATCCTATCTTCAATCATTCTAGCCCACTACTAGCCTCATGCCCAAGTTTTACTAAGGAGTATATTGACATTCAAAACTCTCACCATCACTGGCAGGTGGTCCTTCAGTATTTGGATTTCTTCTCCTTGGATCAATTCCCATGTTTCTTATGAAAGTTCCATCTTATCTGAAGATATCTTTGTTCCTTAGGAAATAAGGGATTAATATGAGAAATATTTGTAATGATATAAAGAGTTGGTCATTCTAGCTCACGCTTAGACATCAATACTGTATGGAGAATGAAGAGCAAAGGACAATTACACTATTCAAGTAAACATGGTTTTTGCTGCCTAGGTCAGGAATTTCTAAACCCTTATCTGTAGGATTCTGTTATGACTTTTAGGAGAACTTTTAAGAGATGAAAGTGAGGAGTTAGGTGTCTCTGGTAAGTCATGGCAAAGACCAAAATCAACCTTTATGGATGTGTCTGCATAATGGGATTTGAAACTTGATAAATTAATGGAGAAAAATAAATAAATGAATAAATGAAGTTCATGAATTTATTCTATGATAATCCCCTAAAAACATTTTTTAAAAATTTTAATTGATAAATAATAATTTTATATATTTATAGGGTATGGTGTGATGTTTCAATACATTTAAACATTGTAGAATGATCAAATCAGGGCAATCAGCATATCTATCACCTCAAATACTTTTCATTTCTTTGTGGTGAGAACATTTAAAATCCTCTCTTGGCTGGGCGAGGTGGCTCACGACTGTAATCCTAGTACTCTGGGAGGCCAAGGCAGGAGGATCGCTCCAGATCAGGAGTTCAAAACCAGCCTGAGCAAGAGTGAGACCTGTCTCTACTAAAAATAGAAAGAAATTAATTGGCCAACTAAAAATATGTAGAAAAAATTAGCCAGGCATGGTGGCGCATGCCTGTAGTCCCAGCTAATCGGGAGGCTGAGGCAGAAGGATTGCTTGAGCCCAGGAGTTTGAGGTTGCTGTGAGCTAGGGTGATGCCACAGCACTCTAGGTTGGGCAACAGAGTGAGACTCTGTCTCAAAAAGAAAAAAAATCTTCTCGCAGCTATTTTGAAATATAAATACATTATTATTATATTAACTATAGTTGTCTTACTCTGCAATAGAACACCAGAACTTACTCTTCCTATCCAACTATAACTTTGTATCTGTTGACCAACATCTTCTGGGAAACTAATAAAATATATTTCTAGGTACTATCTCTGGAAATTCAAAATCTATATGACTGGAGAATGGCCTAGTGATCTGAATGCTAGAACCTTTTTTTCACTGGTGATTCTGATATGTAACTCTATTTGGGAACCACTGTTTTGGGTCTACTGTGGTTAAACCATTTTGGTGACTATAGTGTGCCTAAAGCCTGTAAGGATAAACACTGAACAGTAAATAATTGGGACAGTAGAATTAATAATCCAAAAATTATTGAAATTGAAAGTAACAGCAAAGGTAACAACAAAGCTTGAGGACCTAAGTTTTACCTGCCTTTCTTCATACTTCTCACTCACCTTCAAGACACCCCAATTCTTTCATTAATCTGTTCACATACACCTTTCCCTTGGCTGTAAGACAGAGGAAAATTCAAGTGCTAGGCAGCAGTGCAGATACTTTAAAAATAGCATAAAACATGCATAATTTCAGGAACATAGACTTATAAATGTTTTATTCTAGAAATTTATACTTTTTTAATTTTCGAGAAAAAAACTCAGGAATGGAAACAGCTGTCAATTTGGTGATATCATTTTGGTGGTAGTGGGGGGATGGAACATTCTTTACATAGGCAGTATCAGTCACAAAAGTTCATATACTCAACCTTCCTTGAAGGCTACTGTGATATTTTCAATGCTCACCATCAATTGGCAGATTCAGTAGTTGCATGCCTTTCTCTTCTGTGAGACTTATCCCCATATTTTCCAGAAAATTTTTCAGGTTGCTAGTATCAATCTTCTCACCTTTGTAAAGTAAAAAGTGAAAATTGTTGAAAATTTAAAGAATGATGATTCTATATTATGACAAATTCCTATGTGGCATCATTTGTTAGTTAAACAGTAATGGAGTAAATCTGGCAAGAATGCCAGCTATTGTTAAGACATAATCCTAGAGCTTTTAGGCTTAAACGATGAACAAAGTTTGGCTGTGAGTCATTAGATGCAGACATTCATTAATAAACAGGTAGAGTGAGAGGATGTATCAGCAAAGGAAGCACTGCTGTTAAAATATAATTTTGTGCAAACATTAGAATCTTGGTTTTGCAGAGTCTTCTTAATCATAAATTATGGCCTTTCTCTGGGGGCTTTTTTCTTAACCTGGCCTGGCTCTCCGTTATGCTGTCATGCATCAGGGATTTTAGTGAGTTGCTTTCCTCTCTTACTGATAGCTACTACCATCAGCGTACTTTTTGGGCTTCCTCCCATAAGGGTGGCTAGGAAGTTAGATGCAATCTCTCAAGCTCACCTCTTTTTGTGCATGTGTGTCCCAGGAAAACTAGCATGTAGAGATTTTTTATTCTAAGGACTTTAAAATGCTAGAGGGATTCTGCTGTCTACGTTTGTTCAAAAAAAAATAAATAAAATAAAAAAAATAAAAATAAAATGCTAGAGGGAAACAGACAGGTGATCACCTACCATCACAAGCATGGGTAAGACACAAAGGTAACAAGTTTGTTTGGTAATGGACTTAGTTTCAGTTCCTGGTTATGAGGATGAAAATCACCATTTATGCTTGCCCCCTGCAGCCATCTCCCAATCTGCTTGTAGGGTGGTTATGTGAAATTTTCCTTCACAATGTATCTTTTTCTCTAGCTTGAAGATGCAGTTTATTTATTTACTTGAACATAACCTCAAGATTTTATTATCTTTATAATAAAACAAAAAATGAGGCTGAGGACTAGATCTCTTGGATCTTTTTATCTCTTCCCAGTTCAAAATGCTTGCATCTCCCAATAGCCAGCATTCTCTTAGATCTATAGTTGGGCTCAATAAAGTCAAGCCTCAGCACAATCTTTTTTGTACTTTTATCTTTTTTTTTTCTGGAAAATTGGCTTAGACTACCCACCATAGCCACTCTGCTTCCTGTCATAATGCTTCTTTCTCTGGCGTACAGAGAACCCTTGCCCTTCTTATATTGTGTCACTTTGTGGGGTTGGTGCTTGCTACATTTTTTACAGAAAGTCCAGTGGATTTTAGAAATGTTCACCACCTTTCCAGTAGTGTTATCAGCATGGAAAAAATGCTAAAGATGCAGTTTAAGCAGACAATTCAGATATCCTAATTATTTCCAATTCCAGCATAAGAAAATTTTTGCTTTTCATCCTCTGTAACCACAGTGCAGTGTTTCTGTTCAGAGGGGAATGTTTGAGGAGTTAGCCAGTCATCTGCACAAGTCATCTGGGAGAAAATGTGCATAGGAATTGGAATTCTCCAAGTCCATAATTTCAATCATAACTTCTTCATTTCTTTCCCTATCCACACTAGACCACTTAACCACTTTCTTGGACTACACCTTTAAAGTCTTTATGCTTTCATTCTTTGAACACATCATCCTGAGAATCTCCTAATTTGGTCCAACTGAAGAATATCATATGATACATAAAAAGTGATTATTTATTTGCAATATCTAACTGTGGTTAGTCTCTTGTACTTCTCAGCAATGCCTTCATGTATAATACTTCTCATGAACTTTAGTTACTATTATCTATCAAAGTTATATGACATCACAATACTCTTCTTGAACTTCCCTACTCCATTATGTCCTTCCTTTAGTAGACTATTCTGTTTTCTACTTTACAGAGAAAATTAAGCTTTCAGGTAAAACTACTTTGAATTTTACTACCACCTAGTAGATGGTACTACCTAGACTCTCTACATCTGCATCTTTCTTGACTTCAAGTCTGCTTGACTCAGAAAAAGACAAATTCTTTTTGCTTGAGATTTTTTTTTGTTTTGAGACAAAGTCTCACTCTGTTCCCCGCGCTAGAGTGCTGGAGTGTCAGCCTAGCTCACAGCAACCTCAAACTCCTGGGCTCAAGCAATCCTCCTGTCTCAGCCTCTCTAGTAGCTGAAACTATAGGCATGCACCACCATGCCCAGCTAATTTTTTCTAGACATTTTTTGTTGTCTGGCTAATTTCTTTCTATTTTTATTTATTTATTTATTTATTTTTTTTCTTTTACTGAAGGGAAACTTGGACATCTTTCTATTTTTTAATAGGGCCAGGATCTTGCTCTTGCTCAGGCTTGTCTCAAGCTCTTGAGCTCAAACAATCCTCCTGCCTCGGCCTCCCAGAGTGCTAGGATTATAGGCATGAGCCACCGCACCCGGCCTTTGCCTGAGATTCTTACTCATATAGTCAACTGACTAGGATTCAATTCCACTTAAATTTCTCACAGGAACCCCAAAATCAATATGATCAAAATGGAAATTCTATCTTTACTTCTAAACCTTTTACTTAATTCCTTCTTTTAGTGAATGTCACTATCACTCACCCAACTACTCAACTCAGAAACTGAGCCATTCTTCACTCCTTCCTTTCTCTCCATCTCTATACCTAATCATTAACCAAATCCTATAAATTCTATATTGGTAACATCTCTTATACATGTCCTTTCCTCCTAAGTCTCATTGATAATGATTTAGTTCTGTCCTTTGTTGTCTTTTGCTTGAACAGTTCACTGCCTACCTGCTTTCCCCAACTCTACTCTTACATACACAACTCCATCCATCCTCTATATTGCTGCTAGAGTAATCTTTCTAATTTGTAACCAAATCATGCAGTCCCCAGTTTAAATCCTGGAATGATTCCCCACTCTACACAGAATAAAATTCACATTCCTTTATTTGGTATTCAAGGCCCTTCATGATTTGTCCCTTGTATTAGTGTTCTGTTATTGCTGTAATAAATTACCAAAAACTTGGTGGCTTAAAACCAGCAGTCCCCAACCTTTTTGGCACCAGGGTCCAGTTGCATGGAAAATAATTTTTCCACAGATGGTGGGTGTGTGTGGGTGGGTTGGAGAGGCGGAGTTCAGGTGGTGATATGAGCAATGGGGAGGGGAGTGGCTGTAAATACAGATGAAGCTTCCTTTGCTTGCCAGCTGCTCACTTCCTGCTCATCCCCCCTTCCTAAATTTCATGGAAGACAATTTTTCCAAGATGAGGGGTGGGGTTGTGGTGGAGCTCTGGGAACCGGTCCCTAACAGGGTATTGGGGACGGCAGGCTTAAAGCACTAGAATTTTTTTTTATCTTACAGTTCTGGAGATCAAAAGTCTGACATCAGTTTCACTGGGCTAAAGTCAAAGTACCAGCAGGGCTGGTTCCTTCAGGAAGCTCTGGAGGAGTTCCCTTGCCTTTCCACTTCTAGAGGCCACTTATATTCCTTGGCTCATGCCCCTTCTTCCATCTTCAAAGCCAGCAGTGCAGCATTTTGCTTCCACTGTCACACTGCCTTCTACTTTTTCTGTCATAAAATCTCTCTCTTTCAGTCTTTAAGAACACTTGTGATTACATTTAGAGTCTACTCAGATAGTCAAGGATAATCTCATCATCTCAACATCCTTAATCCTATCTCCAAATTCACTTTCGCCATATAAGGTAAAATTCACAAGTTCTGAGGATTAGGACCTAGATATCTTTGGAAGCCATTACTCAGCCTCCCAATCCCCTTCCTTACTCTTTAAGTTTATTTCTTGCTAAACTTCTGCTAAAATTTAAGTCCCAGCTATGCCAATTTATTTACAGTTCCTTAAATTTTTATACTGTTTCCCATCTTGGTGCCTTTTATACTTTTTTCTCTGTCAGAAACACCCATCCTATTCTGTCTGGCAAACACTGACTCTTTTTAAGGATCAGCTCAACTCCTGTGTTGCCCTTCTATTAAACCTTGATGACTGCTTAGTTTCTGAGTGGGGTAGTTGGGTGAGTGTTGGCGATATTCTCCAAAATGAAGAATTTAGTAAAAGATTTATAAGTAAATATAGAGTTTCCATTTTGGTGCCAAGTGACCATTCTGCCCCTTCTTTACTTTGTATAGGCTCTTATATGGAGGCTATCTTCTTTACTTATATAGGCTCCTATAACATCTTATTACATTTATTTATATGTATTTTTCCTGCCCCAACTATATAACTCCTGAAAGGTCAGTTTTTGTAGATCCATACGTGAGATATAGTAGATGCTCAATAATAAATTACTAAAAATCTAACTCACCTGTAGAAAGATTCCCTTCATTCATTACCACATCCACTTCAACCTTCCCTTCATCTGTAAGACAAGGTAGAATTTTATGTATAAAGACAATAATAGGAATAAAAGATAAAAAAAGTCATACATTGAGGTAAAACATATGAATTTAGCAAATTTTTATGATTTGTTCTAGAATTTATCCTATTTTCATTCCAAATGGAAAATATGGAAAGACAAATCTCAGATTATAAAAAAGATGCTTACTTCACACGTCTAATATCACTTTTTATTCTATTAAGATAGAAACTCCATACCGTAGAATGCTGGGCTGACACACTGAAAAAATAGCTCTCTCTACTTTCATATATGGAATAAATCTGTTTTATTGATTATAAGGCTGCCAAGAAACTTAAAAGGGGCAAATATTCCAATAGGAAAAATTTGACTTGGGGCATTAACAATGCCTATTTCTACACTCAATCTACAGATAACACTTAGCTTATGTTGTCTGTTGCTCATTCCACTATCCACATTCAATATCAAAAAAGGGCTTTGATCAACCTAATTGAACTTTAACAATATTTTTAAAATTTTGTCTTTTAAATCTTTATTTTGTATTTTCCTTTTAAATGGGGCATTTAAAGGGGACACCATGATAGGTGCTCAGTTCCTCACAGGAAGATGTCTTATCCATTCTCATGCATTTCAATTAGTCCCACAGAGGATATATGAATAGCCTGATTAGGTCTCTAACGTATTTACTACAGGATCATTGACTTGAAAAGTAGTATTTGGGGAGATGGTTGATATTTTTACAATGAAAATCCTTGTGGCATCCCAGGAAAGTTTCAAGATAACTTGAGAATGGGGTAAGAAAAAGTATCTACTTCCTTTTATAGGCAGATAAAAATATTGGGAAATTGCATATTTCCAGTAATAAAGAAAAAATATGCTATCAAAAATTTACTTTCTTCTGACTGAGCAAAGGCATAACTAAGTGGCATCGTGTTGAGATGAATGCATATTGATTGTTACTATTGCTAGCAAGAAAAGCTATTAAATGCTTGTTATCAGCTGGGCGCTGTGGCTCACACCTGTAATCCTAGCACTCTGGGAGGCCGAGGCAGGTGGATCACTCAATGTCAGGAGTTCAAAACCAGCCTGAGCAAGAGGGAGACCCCATCTCTACTAAAAATAGAAATAAATTAATTGGCCAACTAAAAAAATATATAGAAAAAATTAGCCGGGCATGGTGGTGCATGCCTATAGCCCCAGCTACTCGAGAGGCTAAGGCAGAAGGATTGCTTGAGCCCTGGAGTTTGAGGTTGCTGTGAGCTAGGGTGACACCACAGCACTCTAGCCCAGGCAACAGAGCGAGACTCTGTGTCAAAAAAAAAAAAAAAAAATGCTTGTTACCTACTAACACCTATGCTAAGAACTTATAACAAACTTCATAGTGGAAAACACTATGAAGATACCTCAAAGAACTGAAAGTAGACCTACCATTTGATCTAGCAATCCCACTACTGGGTATTCACCCAAACGAAAAGAAATCATTTTATCAAAAAGACACCAGCAATAAATATTTGAATGTTTATTGCTGCACAATTCACAATTGCAAAGATGTGGAATCAACCCAAGTGCCCATTAATTCATGAGTGAATTAACAAAATGGGGGGTATATGTATACCATGGAGTACTAGTCAACCATGAAGAAGGATGACTTAATGCCTTTTGTAAAAATTTGGATGGAACTGGAGACCATTAATCTAAGTGAAGTATCTAAAAAATGGAAAAGCAAAAACCACATGTACTTACTATTAATACATTGACTAGAAAAAAAAAATTTTCCTTGGGGCCATGGTGTTTTATTATGAAAACAGAATGATCCTAATTTAGTGAAAAATTTAGTTTTTATCATTTTCTGTTTTTTTTCAAATAAAAAGTAATACAAAAACTTTAAAATTGTAATATAAAAAGTAATGTGAAAACTTGAAAAATAGTTCATAAGGGTAAAGTGTTTTTTTTTTTTTATTGTCAGGCTTAAGTGTAAGTTAAAGGTAAACATAAGTAGAAAAATGAAATTTATTGACTTCTCTTCATTTAATCCACATTTTTAGAATTAAATTGTCAATATTAATAGTAACAATAAGAACATTAACAAGTAAGATTTTCACGAACCAACTGCAGGGTTTTGCCCAGGTTTTGCTTCATGAGGCCCTGGGCTCAAAACTAGTGTGAGCCCAGGGCCTCACACTAGTTAGTTGTATTTAACACTAGTGTGTTAAATACAACTCACATGGCAGGTAATGTGTGAAATTGGATGAGCACTAACTGATGAGCACACATGTGCAAAGAGAGAAATGAGACTTAAGAGACATCAAGCAGGGGGGAGGGGGAAGAGGGGATAGGTGAAAACCTACCTAATGGGTACAATGAACACTATCTGGATGACAGGCACACTTAAACATTTTATTTTATTTATTTATTTTTAGACAGTCTCACTCTGTTGCCCTAGCTAGAGTGTCGTGGTATCAACCTAACTCACAGCAACCTCAAACAACTGGGCTCAGGTGATCCTCCTGCCTCAGCCTCCCAAGGAGCTGGGACTACAGGCATGCGCCACCATGCCCGGCTAATTTTTTCTATTTTTTAGTACAGACGGGGTCTTGCTCTTGCTCAGGCTGGTCTTGAGTTCCTGAGCTCAAATGATCCTCCTGCCTCAGCCTCCCAGAGTGCTAGGATTACAGGTGTGAGCCACCATGGCCGGCCAACTCAAGCATTTTAAAAATGATCCATGCAACCAAAATATTTGTATCCCTGTAATACTTTGAAATAAAATAAAATTAAAAGAAAAAAAAAAAGAAAAAAGAAACCGTAAGGATACTGCTCCAGGATCTCAGCTTTGGCCATTTTTTACACTGCACTGACCCTAGAGTGCTCTAAATCACTATTAATAATGCACTGGCCAGGAGGAAAAATAAATAAAGTTAGGGGGAAAAAAATCCATTAATATGAATTATGGAAAAATAGCTATAATTCTTTGTAATGAAGGGAACTTAGGATCGGAAGGAAGTTAATCACAGACTAATTTTATGGCCCCTAAGAATTTCAGAGCTAGGATTTCAATGTATGCATTCAACGAATCCAACTTCTTTTCCCTAGTACACAAATAATCAGTGGAACCAGTGAGATGAATCCCAGATTTTTGTTATTTTTTCCAAGAAGCACATTCATTTGTTGGAAATTTCTTATTAGATACTTGTAGGTCTCACTATTATGTGTCGCCATGCTAGCATATGCTATTATGTCATTGATGTAAAGGGGAATTATATGCTATCCTCCATCTTAAACTTGTTATTTCTGATAGTTCAGAATTTATCTCTAGTAAAATGAATCTCTTTCTGTCCGTCATTACTACTAGTTCTCTCTTATTCTTTGATTTTTTTTTGGACCCAGCAGTCTCACTTTTGTTGCCCAGCTAGATGAGTGCGTGGCATCAGCCTACGCTCACAGCAACCTCAAACTCTGGGCTCAAGCAATCCTGCTGCTCCACCTCCCCGAGTAGCTGGACCACCGCATGCGCCAATGCCCGGCTAATTTCTCTATATAATAGTTGGACCAATAAGTTTCTGACATATTTATACAGATAAAGATCCACAACGGGTCACCCTTGCTCAGAGCTGGTTATTCAAACCCTGACTGTCGAAGCCAATCCGCAAACCCCTCAGCCTCCCAGATGCTAGATTACACGGCGTGAGCCACCGGCTGGCCTGGTTCTTTCACTTCTGCTATTTCAAACTTTTATCCTGATCCTCCATTTATTTTTTTCTTCTCCTTGGTCTGTAATAGTCTCATCATTCTTGAAACCATTGCAATAAAGCTTAAGTGAAATTGTCCGCACTGTTTAACTTCCATAACAGTAGTACTAGATGGATATAATATTCATTTCCAACCATCTCTTTATGCATATTTCTAACTCAAAGTCTATAGGTCCAACCTCACCTTGTCCAAACTGAAATCCTGCCACTCAGTAAACATGCACTCTCCTGAATTTATTTTTTTTTTTTGAACAGAGTCTCACACTGGTGCCCAGGCAGCTGCCATGGCATCAGCATACGCTTAAGCAACTCAAACTCCACTGGGCTCAAACATTCCTCGACGTAGCCCACCTAACGTTATCTGGGTACTACAGGAATCACCCATGCCCAGCACTTTTTCATAATATTTTGTTAGTTGCCCAATAATCTTTCCTTATTTATTAGTAGAGACGGGGTCTTGCTCAAGCTGGTTTCCAACTCCTGACTGTGAGTGATCTGCTTGCCTTGGCCTCCCAGAGTGCTAGGACTATAGGTGTGAGCCACTGTGCCTGGCCTTGTTCCTGAATTCTTCAATTGGCTTATAATATAATTGATGACTTCAAGATGTCCTTTCCTAAAGTTTTTCTACTTTTTCAAAACTCACGTGTAGTCAGTCATCAAGCTGTATTAATTTCAAATTAAATTTAAAACTAATTATAAATGTATTCATTAATTTTAATAAATAAATAAATTTTAATTCTAAAATCTTTCCCAAATAAATCCCTTATCCATCATTAAGTGAGTTTCTCTTACCTATGCTCTCATCATCTCTTGTTGGGTCATGGCAACATCTTTCAAATTTGAGTCTTAGCTTCCAATAATACCCTCTACATTGCCACCAGCATTGATCTTCCAAAAGAGAAATACTCTAGATATACCACTGCCTAGAGTATGATGGCTAAACTTGAATGGAGAAATAGATAAATTCAAGTATAATAGTTGGAAACTTCAGTACCCCACTCCTAATAATGGATAGAACAACTAAACAGAAAATCAGTAGGATAAAGAAGATTTGAACAATATTATTAACCATGGAACATTCTCCAGGATGTTATTTCTAGTAGTACAGAATTTAGCATACGGTGTACCATATGGTAGGCCATAAAACAAATCTCATTTAATGTAAAAAATTGAAATCACAGAGAGTATGTTCTCTGACCACAAAGGAATTAATTCAAAATCAACAGCATGATATTGGCTGTGGGTTCATCATATATGACTTTAATAATTTTAAGATATGTACCATCTATATATATTTTGTTGAGAGTTTTTATCATAAAAGTGTGCTGGATTTTGTCAAATGCTTTTTTTTTTCATCTATTGAGAGAATCATATGGTCTTTTTTCTTGCTTTTATTTATATGGTGAATTGCATTTATAGATTTGTGTATGTTGAACCATCCTTGCATTTCTGGGATAAAGTCCACCTGGTCATCATAAATTATTTTTTTTGATGTGCTGTTGGATTTGGTTTGCTAAGATTTTGTTGAGGATTTTTGCATCTATATTCATGAAGGATATTGGTCTGTAGTTTTCTTTTTTTGTTGTTGTGTCCTTTCCTGGCTTTGATATCAAGGTGATATTGGCTTTGTAGAATGAGTTGGGGAGGATACCATCCTTCTCAATGTTGTGGAATAATTTCTACAGTATAAGTATTAGTTCTTCTTTGTAAATTTGGTAAAATTCAGGTGTGAATCCATCTGGTCTGTGACCTTTTTTTTGTTGGAAGATTTTTAGTTGCTGCTTCAATTTCTGTGCTTGATAATCCCTATTCAACAAATGGTGCTGGGAAAACTAGATAACCACATGCAGAAGATTAAAACTGGATCCCCACCTCTCACCTCTCACAAAAATCAACTCACATTGGATAACAGACTTAAATCTAAGGTGTGAAACCCTAAGAATTCTAGAAGAAAATGTCGAGAAAACACTTATAGGCATTAACCTAGGCAAAGAATTTTATGCCCCAAAACAATCACAGCAGCAACAAAAATAAATAAATGGGACCTGATCAAATTAAAAAGCTTATGCACAGCCAAGGAAACTATCATTAAAGTGAATAGACAACCTACAGAATGGGAGAAAATATTTGCATGCTACACATCTGATAAATGGCTGATAACAAGAATATATATAGAACTTAAGAAGATTAACAAGAAGAAAATCAAACAACCCCATCAAAAAGTGGGCAAAGGATATGAACCAAAACTTTTCAAAAGAAGACAGAATAATGGCCAGCAAACATATAAAAAAATTCTCAACATCTCTAATCATTAGGGAAATGGAAATCAAAACCACAATGAGATATCACCTAACCAGTGAGAATGCTGGCATGGATGTGGAGAGATAGGAACACTCTTACACTATTGGTGGGACTCCGAATTAGTACAACCCCTGTGGAAAGTAATTTGGAGATATCTCAAAGGGCTAAAAATAGAAATACCATTTGATCCAGCAATCCCACTACTAGGCCTCTACCCACAGGAAAAAAAGCTATTCTATAATAAAGACATTGGTACTTGAATGTTTATGGCAGCACAATTCACAATTGCAAAGATGTGGAAACAACCCAAATGCCCATCAATACATGAGTGGATTAATAAAATGTGGTACATGTATACCATGGAATACTACTGAACTACAAAAAAACAATGGTGAACTAGCACCTCTTAGCACCTGGGTAGAGCTTGAGCCCATCCTTTGAAGTGAGGTATCACAAGAATGGAAAAACAAGCACCACATGTACTTGTCATCAAATTGGTACTAACTGATCAACACTACAGTGTTCACATGGAACTAATTTTCACTGGGTGCTGGTCAGGTGGGAGGAGGGTAAATGGGTCGGATAAACTCACAACTAATGGATGTGGAGAGCACTGTATAGGGGAAGGGCAAGCTTGTAGCCCTGGCTTGGGTGAGGCAAAGGCATTATATATAACCAAAATGTTTGTACCCTCATAATATTCTGAAATAAAAAAAGAAAAAAACCTAACAGCAGAAGGAAATTTGGAAATTCATAAATATTTTGAAATTAATGCGTTTCTAAATAACTCATGGATCAAGAAGAAATCACCTGGGAAATCAAAAAGTATTTTGAACTGAGTGAAAATGAAAACACAACATATCAAAAATTTTGGGATGCAGCTAAAGCAATCCTTAGAGGAAATTTTATAATTATAAACACCTGTATTAGAAAGGAAGAACTATTTTAAATTAATAATCTAAAATTTCATCTTAAGGACCTAGTAGGAGAACAAACTAAAAGTGATTGATGTAACCAAAATATTTGTACCCCTGTAATACTTTGAAATGAAATAAAATTAAGAGAAAAAAAAGATAAGCTGAAAGAAGGAAATAATAAAGATTGGAGCTGACATCAATAAAATGGAAAACAGAAAATGTATAGGGAAAATTGATTGTGGTTCTTTGGAAAGATCAACAAATATTGACAAACCTTTAACTAGATTGACAAAAATAAAAAAAAAAAAGATACATTCAAAATCAGGAGAGAGGACATCATCACTGATTTTATTTTATTTTTTTGAAACAGAGTCTCACTTTGTTGCCCAGGCTAGAGTGAGTGCCGTGGCGTCAGCCTAGCTCACAGCAACCTCAAACTCCTGGGCTCAAGCGATTCTGCTGCCTCAGCCTCCCAAGTAGCTGGGACTACAGGCACGTGCCACCATGGCAGGCTAATTTTTTCTGTATATATTAGTTGGCCAATTAATTTCTTTCTATTTATAGTAGAGATGGGGTCTCGCTCTTGCTCAGGCTGGTTTCGAACTCCTGACTCGAGCAATCTGCTCGCCTCAGCCTCCCAGAGTGCTAGGATGATAGGCATGAGCCACTGTGCCCAGCTTGATTTTAAAGAAATTAGAAGAATTACAAAGGAATACCATGAACAACTTCATGCCAACAAATCAGACAACTTCTAGAAAGGCAAAAATTATTAATATCAAAACTGACCCAAGAGGATGAAGGCTAAACTACATAGCCAGGTTTAGGTTCCTTCCAGTCTTGGAAGCCTACCTTTTCAGTCTTTTTTAATTCTCTTAACATTCTGTGATTTTGCATGCATTTATGCTTTTGTATGCATTGGTTTTCTCATCTGGAATGTCTTTTTTTACTGGAGAATTTTCACACATCATCTGACAAGCCTTTCTCTGATTCCTTTCCTAGAAAACTTAGCTCTTTCTTCCTTTAGAATCTCACTGTACATATTTTTAGTATTATAGCACAACCACGAAGTATTATGAATTATCAATGTGTGAGACATCTTACTAGAGTATGTGCTCCTAGAGGTCAGAGAACCTGTCATCTTCATTTTTGTATTTCTAATAGTTTATATATATTAGGTACTCAAATTCCAATGCATGAATTGATGAATTCTTGAGGATAAACCCTTTTTATTTTTAATGCTTCTGCACTACTCAAACTAAACTCTTAGAAATTCTCATATATGAACCCCAAACTTCATTTAAAAAGCAGCTCACCATCAATGGGCAGGTTGTTTATCAGATCTTGATATTCCTCTTCCTCAAGCTCAAAGCCCATAGTTTCCATGAAGAATTCTAGCTTACTAACACTAAGCTTCACTCCTTAGGAAAAAAGAGTATGGGAATGATAAAGATAAACAATAATGACAAAATGAAAAATGTTAGGTATGTTCATGAATTAATTAGAAGGTAAACAATCAAAGAAACAATAAAGTTGTTTATGGGAAAAGAGTTATCTCAGGAATCAGGAACAAACCTGCTCTCTCATTTTTGACCAGATGATCTAACTATAGCTCTCACAGGAAGAAACTAAAGAGGAAGAAACTAAAGAGTTAGGCAAATCTGATGAATTCTGGCAAGAAAGTGCCTTTATAATTCTACTTAGAAAACAAACTTGAAGTACAGTGATAGAGTCAAAAATTATTTCTTCAAAGGTAGGTATGTTCAAAGTAGTAAATGATGAGTCAAAAACACTTAAACAGGTTAACTGAAAAATTCGTCATCACCAAAAATACATGTGGTTTTTAAAAAGTAAATGCAAAATGTAAGAAGTCTGAATTTTACCTGATTTCTTACTTACCTCTGAGAGATTTTATGCCATCCAGCAACTTATGCTTATACAACTTTCCAGCGGCTGTGAGATAAGGTAGGGTATAGTAATTGGTGAGGAAACTTGAAATAACTTAAACCCCAGCAATTTCAGAAAGAACAACTCTAACAATTTTACTCAAAATTTTTATTATTTATATCTGAAATAAGAATTAGACCAACAGGAGAAAGTTCTTAAGATAGTAAATCTACCCACTTCTTTTTTGACAATTTTAACAATTATTAGTGGTACCTTGGTACCTTGCCATGCCTTTCTCTTGTCTTTCTTTCTTTTCTTCTGATTTCTCCTTTTCTACCCCTCTGCTTTAGTGTTCCCCCCATAGATATAGTGGGGCTCATGAGTACAGAGACTGCTGATTCCTGAGCTAAAAATCTTGATGGCTATGACAAGATTTCTTTGAATGTTAGTATTGAGCATTTCTATATATTTTTCATATGACATCAAATGGATATTGTTTTAGATATTTTCATTGACAATCCCAGGAAAATAATTCTTCTCCAAGTTAATTCTTTAGTAAGATGTCATCTGTTACCATCACAGGGTTCATATTTTACAGAAATTCAAATATTGATTTCTATTCCCACATAGATGGTGAAGTAGCATGGATTTTTGACTCCCTCTCCACAAATCAACCCTGGAGTAGCTGAAGTTTCAGCAGAAACTTGAATTTTAGGAACTAAGTGAAAAGCCATAACTAAACCCTTGGGAAATGGAAAACTGTACTGGGGTGTGTGTGTGTGTGTGTGTGTGTGTGTGTGTGTGTGTGTGTGTGTGTGTTTACAGCCTAGGGTGGCAGCAGTTAAAGGACTAACTAAGGAAACATTTTTTTTTTAAATTTCTGCCCTTCCATTTCTGTACTATGAATCTGAAGTTATCATTGCCTACTCCTTCACTACAGAAAGCATCATCAAAAGCCTAGACCACTGGTGTAGGTATCTGGAAGGTACTATCAGGGTAGTACATAAACTCTTCAGGAGTTAAGTGCTAATATAAATAGGTGAAGACTGCTAAGCTGTCCCTAAAGTATTTTACCCTCCCTTAACCTTGATGGCTGGTGGATTGTCTTCTTCCAATTCTACTTCTCTCTGAGTTTAAAGGTGAAACTCTGACCATAGGAGCTATCTGGAACAGTGTCAACCCAGGTAAATGATCAACAGTGCCTTGGGCTCTCTACCCTGGAGCTCATCATCTTAGTTTTCCTTAAACCCAGCAGGGTGGATGTGGACCGGAGCCTGACCTTGTGTCGTTACTGAAAGCATATTTCCAGACATAGTAATGATATCCCCCAGAGAAAAATGGTCCATGGGACCAAAATAGCTAGTCACTGAGCAGTATAACTACTTCAAAAGAAAACAAACTGACTATCATATACTATTTAAATCAGAATTATTGGAATAAAAGGACCAGAAGTTTAAAATAAACATGATAAATATACTTAATAAGAGATGATATTAGCAAAATGTAATAAGAAAGTATAAAAAGAATCCATGGAAATATTAGGTATAGGGCTGGGCACAGTGGCTCACACCTGTGATCCTAGCACTCTGTGAGGCCCCAGGTGGTAAGATTGCTTGAACTCAAGAGTTTGAGACCAGCCTGAGCAAGAGTGAGATCCTGTCTCTATTAAAAATAGAAAAATTGGCTGAGTGTGGTGGCTTACGCCTGTAATCCTAGCACTCTGGGAGGCTGAGGCAGGCGGATTGTTTGAGCTCAGAGACCAGCCTGAGCAAGAGCAAGACCCTGTCTCTACTAAGAAAATAGAAAGAAATTAGCTGGACAACTGAAATATATATATAAAAAATTAGCCGGGCATGGTGGCACATGTCTGTAGTCCCAGCTACTTGGGAGGCCAAGGTAGAAGGATTGCTTCAGCCCAGGAGTTTGAGGTTGCTGTGAGCTAGGTTTATGCTACAGCACTCTAGCTCAGGCAAGAGTGAGACTCTGTCTCAAAAAAAAAAAAGAAAAAGAAAAAGAAAAATCTGAATTTAAGAGGGCTTGTAAAAACAATAAAACAAATAAAATAAAAATAGCCAGGCTTCATGGCATATGCTGGTAGTACCAGCTACTCAGGAGGCAGAGGCAGGAGGATCCCTTGAGCCCAGGAGTTTGAGGTTGTAGTGAGCTACAATGACGTCATTGCCCTCTAACCAGGGTGACAGAGTAAGACTATCTAAAAAAAAAAAGAAGAAAGAAAGAAAGAAAGAAAGAAAGAAAGAAAGAAAGAAAGAAAGAAAGAAAGAAAGAAAGAAAGAAAGAAAGAAAGAAAGAATAGATGAGGTAGAGTAGAATGGAAACAGATGAAAAGTTAACTTGTGGGCTCTCTGATTAGATTGAGGAACTCCCTCAGAAGGCAGCAGAAAAGGATAAAGAGGTAGAAAATGGAAGTAGGAGTGCTAAACTCTGGGCAATTAGGAGTTCCATAGGAGAGAAAAATAAAAATAGTGAAGATAAAATATTTGAAGGAATAATAAAAAAATTCTAAGATCAAAAAAGATAAAAGACCTTATATTAAAAGGGCTTATATAGATTCAAATAGAAGAGGTAGGGAAAATTCCTAACCTAGACACATTATAGTGACTTTCAAAATATCAAATAAAAAGATAAAATTCTAAAATCCTTTGAAGAGAAGGATTTTCCATCTATAAAGGAAGAAAAATCAGACTGAAACCAGATTTCTCAACAATAATTTTAGATGCTGAAAGGCAATGGACTAATATTATTTGAAATAGTGAAAGAAAAGAACTTTGAACCTACACACAAATTGTCATTTAAGAATGAGGACATAATAAAAATATTCTCAGACATTCAAGATTTTTTTTTATTTCAGCATATTATGGGGATACAAATGTTTAGTTTACATATATTGCCCTTGCCCCATCTGAGTCAGAGCTTCAAGCATGTCAATCCCCCAGATGGTGGCACCACACCCACTAGGTATGTATATACCCATCCCCTCCTCCACCCTCCCATCTGCCCGACACTCGATGAATGTTGTTACTATATATGCACTTAAGTGTTGATCAGTTAATACCAATTTGATGGTGAGTACATGTGGTGCTCGTTTTTCCATTCTTGTGATACTTCACTTAGTGGAATGGGTCAAGATTTAAGATTCACTACAGAGAATGATATTGAAAATACCTTTTTAAAGAAAATACTCAACAAGTGAAAGAAATCTAGAAAATGCTACAAGAAGTATGGAAGGAATGATCACATATCTTGGTAAAGTTTGTTGCTGGTATCTAAAAAGTTTAGGTACAGAGAAAAAAGGAGAAAATATTTTACTCAGACTTGAATTCTAGAGAAATACCAACATGATTGGGGTAGGGGAGCAAGGCAGGTTGACAAATGGAACATGAAAGTGTGCTAATCCTTATCTTATTTGGGGGAACATACAGATTGATAAGTTTAAGAGATCATTAGGGTAGGTCTTAAGGACAACTACTATAATTTTTTAACCTGCAGAAGAAAAATCCAATGAATCTAATGGTAACTATAAAGGATGAAAAAAGAAACAAAAGAATACTGTAAATGGAAACTATGAAATAAAACTGCAGAGTTATATTCTATGTAATAATAACTATGATAATGAGTTTAACTCAACAGTTGTAAAACAGAAACTCTAATATTGTATTAAAAAACAAGGCCGGGTACGGTGGCTCACTTGTAATCCTAGCTCTCTGGGAGGCGAGTGGCGGATTGACTCGAGGTCAGGAGTTCGAAACTAGCCTGAGCAAGAGCGAGACCCCGTCTCTACTATAAATAGAAAGAAATTAATTGGCCAACTACAAACATATCTATAGAAAAAATTAGCTGGGTATGGTGGCGTGTGCCTGTAGTCCCAGCTACTTGGGAGGCTGAGGCAGCAGAATTGCTTGAGCCCAGGAGTTTGAGGTTGCTGTGAGCTAGGCTGTTGCCACAGCACTCACTCTACCTGGGCAACAAGCAGACTCTGTCTCAAAAAAAAAAAAAAAAAAAAAAAAATCAAATAATATATTGTCTAGAAGAGACACAGAGCAAAAAGACACAGGAAAGTTGAAAACAAAAGCATGGATATGAACCAAAAGAAAGCTGAGGTAGCAAGCCTATCACCTGACAAAACAGGACTTAAACCAAAATATTTCATAAGGCACAAAGAAGGATATTATATGTCTATAAAAAGGATCAAGAGAACAAAAGATATTTTTATCATAAATATGTATGCACCTGATGATACAACCTCAAAATATTAACATAAAGCAGTAAATGACAATTGCAAGAAAAAATAGTTCTATCAATAATTGTATTTTTAACAATTATTAAAGAATGTTTAACATCCCTTTTAGGTACTGATATCAAGCAAACAAAAATAAAAAAAATTGAAGACTTCAACAATATGATTAATGTTTAAGTGCAATTACTAACAGAGAATGTACATTTTTTGAGTACCTATGGAACACCTCAAAAGACAGACCATATTTTAGGTCACAAAGGTACTCCCCAAAATTCCAAAAGGATCAATATAAAACTGAATGTATTCTCTGATCATATAATAAAATTAAAATTTAATAACAAAAGAAATGCTAAACATCAGACATATTTCAAGAGGACAACTTGTTCATCATCTACTTAGCATGCTTCCCTAAATCTACTGAAATAAAACAAACAAAAACCCCCAAACTCAGCACCCTTGCCTCACAAAACTGGCAGTACAAGCAGTTTCCACCAATGCTTCCTTTCTTCACTGTCATTATTGATGACTCTAGACATCTTTTTGCTTTTAGACTTTCAAGTGAGAATCAACCACTAATGTTTGATATTATCCATAGACTTCCTTCTGTGAAAGATTAGGATATTACTTTTTATCTTCCTTTTCTGCATACCTTGCTCTCTCTTGTCTCCCATTATTGTTATATCATACCTTTTTGTTGTTAAATTAAGTGCTTTCCACATATTGTGAATGTCACTGTGTACTCTATGTTATATCAACATGAGATTTTGCATGGTTCTCCAAACATGCCATGGTTGGGTGTGTCTCTGTGCCTTTTTTATGCTTTTCCTTTTAGTTCTTGCCATCTCCTACTATTGAACTTTTCAGGCTCATTTGAAATAATATCCACTGGGTGAAGCCTTAAAGTCCTCTGTACCTTCACAGCCGTTCATACTTATTAATATTATAGCACTTACCATAGTATACAGTATTTTTTTTTTGGTATGTGTTGTTTACGCACATATTGAGTTATTCTAGGACCTGGACTTTGTCTTATCTATCTTTGTCATTCAAAGCCTAATATAATGGCTTGTACCTAATGGTGACCAATTAGCTTTTATTGAATGGATGAAAATTCCATTGGTAAATTAAATGCTTACTATCAAGTGGCAAACTTTTCATCAGCACTGAGTTTTCCTTCAGTTGGAGCCTTAACCCTATGTTCTTCAGATGTTTTCCAAGTCTTCACAGTCAATTTCTCTCCTTAAAAAAGAAAATAATGCTAAAAGGTCAAATTTCAATAATAAAACCAACTATATCTCTGTAGCATCACCCTCAAATATAAGGTAAAAGCAACAGAAATAGTGTTGTCTAATTATATAGAATTAGAAGAGGGATTCAGAAATGGAACTTCTTTCTGATAAAAGGGAGCTCTTCAATGTTGGGAACAGGAAACAAATATGGCACACAGAAAGCTGGTATTTTTTAACAGTTCACTAAGTGAGCTGGTATAAATAATTCTGCCAACATGTAATATTTGCTCTACTATTTTACATTTTCCTGAATTATGAGCTTGTTCACAATGGCCATGACAACCGGGGCAGACGGCCGCCTTATTCTGTAGTGTGTAAGTTCGTCTGGTCAGTCTTTGCCTGTTAGAACAATGAATACCGGTTCGATTGAAAAACCGAAGCAGATATAGGGATTCCCGTTATTTGTAGTACATTATACCTATAGCCTGTTAAATAACAGCAATGGTAGTTAAGAACTGGATTTAGTAATAATAACCCCATAACCAATTAGTTTTATAAAGCATGGTCTCTCCTTAGTTATATATACCGGATTTGACCAATACAAAATACATAAATGACAAACATTGAAAATGTATATGATGGGAGCAGGCATAACAGAAAATACTTAAAATAACTTCTTTTGTAATGCCACATTCAGACCATCTTATCATTGTCTTTCACTGCCTTGTATCATTTCTTATGACTCACCTAAACATTTATGTACTTCATCCAGAAGTAAATCCAGTTTAACACTTTTCTCATCCTACACAGGACAAAGGGGGGAGGACACAATCAGATAGTGCGTCTTGCTATGGAATGAATTCTATCTCCCCAAATTCATATGTTGAAGCCCTAACCCCCAATGTGACGTATTTGGAGTTAGGGTCTTTAGAAGGTGATTAAGGTAAGTGAAGTTATAAGGGTGGTGCCTTAATCTGATAGGACTCTGGCCTTATGAGATGAGGAAGGGAGAGAGATCTCTTCCTTCTTTTTCTACAAATGTGCACGGACATAGTGAGAAGGCAGCTGTCTACAAGCCAGGGACAGAGCCCTCCCAGAAACTGAATCAGCCAGCTCCTTGATCTTGGACTTCCCAAACTCCAAAAACTGTGAGAAGATAAATTTCTTGTTTTTTTCTTTTTTTAAGAGATGAGGTCTCAAGGGTCTCACTCTGTCACCCAGACTGGATTGCAGTGTGCAATCAGAGCTCACTGTAACCTTGAATTCCTGGGCTCAACCCATCCATGCCTGCTGCGCCTTGACCCAAGAGGCTAGGGTTAGAGGTGTGGCACAAACCACACCCCCACTTGCCTCTCCGCCACCACGGCCAACAGGAATTTTTTTTTTTTTTGTAGAGAGCAGGGTCTTGCTATGCTTGCCGTAGGCTGGTTCAAATTTCTATTGTTTCATAGCCACTCCAGTCTACTGTATTTGTTATGAACAGCGCCCGAACACAACTAATATCCAGCGGTTCTAATTACAGGTCTCACTCTGTTGCCCTAGCTGGAATGGCAGTGGCTGTGATACCTCATTTACCACGCCTGAATTCGCTGGCTGTAGTCGATCGCTCCTGCCTCCAGCCTCCCTGAGTAGCGGACTAGGTACTATTAAGCTCATGGCCCATGCCCCAGCTGAGATTTTTTTTTAAGAAATATTTTTGTTTGCTGTATTTCCTAGGCTGGTCTCAAACTCCTGGCCTCCGAAGCTGGATCCACCTGCCTGTCCTCCTCCCAAAGTGGCTGGATTATAGGCTGTCAGCCACCTGACAGGCCCCACTTACATAAACATTCTTAAACTGTGCAGTAAATCAGTTAAGACCGAAATACAGCAGCTTGCGACCCGGCGGGGGGGGGGGGGGGGCGGTGGGGGCGCGGTGGCTCACGCCTGTAAGCCTAGCATCTCCCTACGGAGAGCCGAGGCCGGGCGGATTGGCTAAAGGTCAGGAGTTCACAAAACCGACCTGAGCAAGACGCGAGAACCCCCGTCGTCCGTACTTCATAAAATCAGCGCAACGAAAACTTAATTGGCCAACTGATATATATATAACAAAGTTAGCCGGGCATGGTGGCACATGCCTGTAGTCCCCAGCTACTCAGGAGGCTGAGACAGACAGGATCGCTCGAGCCCAGGAGTTTTGAGCCTTGCTGTGAGCTAGCTGACGCCATGGCACTCACTCTAGGCCTGGCACAAGTTGAGTCTGCTCAACAAAAAAAAAAAAATAGCAGTTGCCTAGAATTTTTTTAATTAGATATTTTCTTATCAGTTTAACTTTTCATTGAAGGTAATCGGCCCTCTTATCAGTTTATATAAACATAAAGTTGAGGAAAAAAAAGAAATGAACACATTGACTGCCAAACTAGAAAAAAAACTTTTTTCCTTGGGGCCATGGTATTTTATTACAAAAATAGAATAAAAACTTTGAAAACAAAATAATCCTTTTTAATTTAATGAAAAATTTGTTATTTTTTATTGTTTTCTGTGCATGAGTTATATGCAACTTGAAAAATAGTTCTTGCAGCTCCCAAGGTGAAGAGACTTATGAGTTACATATGCTTCATGAGGCCCTGGGGTTAAAACTAGCATGAATTAAATAAAACTCACATGGCAGTTAATGTGTTAAATATGATAAACACATTTATTCAGTCAATTTTTCCTGTTTTTGTTCCTCACTCATCGGTGTGAAAAGGGAAACAAAGAAGAGAAATTATTTTCATCTTTTAGTTCATCAAATATTTGTTAGGTGCCTACTATATGCCATGCCCTGTTTTTACAGCACAGAGTTGTAAAAAAAGGACTAGAGGTTGGTCCAGAAATAGGAGATCACTTACTTTTTTGGTGAGCAAAAAGCCTTATGATTTCAGGCATGATCATATAATATTAGATTAGTTTAGGTAAATCAGCACTTCTGGGATGCTTAATAAACTATTAATCTACAGCATTATCTCAAGATGCTAAAGATGTTAAGATGCTCAAGATGCTAAGAGTTAAACAGACAGCATTGACCAGATTCTATTGCTAAAGATCATGCAAAAAGCTACTAATCCCAAATAAATATATCAATATATATTTTCCTTTATTATAATGGTTAGCTATTTCAACAAAGTTAACTGTAGTAGGGTTGCTTATGTAAAATGAAGATTCGTGGGTTCTACCCTAAACCTACTTGATCACAGTCTTGAGGGAATGGGTGATTTCTATGCAATCTAAAACTTAATACCTATGAATTTATTAAATGTAATTGTTATATATACATGTTTTATATATTTTACAATATTACAGATAACATTGAACAATTTCCACCACTTTCTTTTTTCTCCTTTCTTTCTGTTTATTGCTGTCTGAATTCTTTCATAATTTTCTCCTCTCTCCCTTCAAATATTCTTTTTTTACTTTTTTAACTTTTTTATCTACTGGATCCCAACACTGACCATGATGTTCTCATTTTGATACTCTTTGGCACTGGAACTCTGGTAGCAGCAATAGAAGTAATTATTGGTATTTTATCTCAGGTTAATATTAAGGGACAATAATTCTCTATCCTTTATGATTGAGTCTATATATTCTATATGGTTCTAGCTTTTTCCATGAAATTAATAAGTATACTTGAGATATGTCACCATGGAGAAACAAAATTTCTCTTACAGGGCATTATGTATTTGAAAGACTCACCATTAACTGGCAGGTGTTTGCACAGTTCCTCGATTTCTTCTTCATTAAGTGGGAATCCCAAGATTTCAAGAACATCACCTATTTTGTTGACATTAATCTTTCCTCCTTAAGAAAGAAGGGGACAAGAATAAAAGAAATTTGTATTTATGCCAAAGAGGGAAAAAAATTGCTCATAACATAATCAACACAAATAGGAAGTAAAAAGCAATGACACTATAAAGCTCTTGAAATGAACAAAAGAATCAGTTGGGTATTAGGAAGAGAAAAATTTTCCCTCATTAATGTTCTAGTAAACACTGTTACAGCAATCTCTAGGATGAGTTTACCCAGAAGAAAGAGAAAAGTAGGCAAGACTGATGAATTGCAGCAAAGAGACAACCAATCCAAAGACTTCTTACCAGTAAATAAGATTCAAATTTTGCTACAGTGACATAGTGTAGGCTATTACCTCAAAAGTGATTGTGTACAAGTAACAAGCAAGATCATAATTTGAAGGATATAGTAACACAATTAGTAATTTAATCATTGAGAAATAAGGCTTTAGAAAAGTAATGCAAAAGCTTGAAGAACTCAGTTTTATCTTTCTCAGCATACTTTTCACTCACCTCTGTAAGTCTTCACTCCATCCATCAATCTATTTTTGTATATCCTTCTGTTATCTGTAAGACAAGGGTCAATTTATTTATTTATCTATTTATTTTATTTATTTATTTTTTTTGAGACAGAGTCTCGCTTTGTTGCCCAGGCTAGAGTGAGTGCCATGGCATCAGCCTAGCTCACAGCAACCTCAAACTCCTGGGCTCAAGCAATCCTTCTGCCTCAGCCTCCCAAGTAGCTGGGACTACAGGCATGCACCACCATGCCCGGCTAATTTTTTCTGTATATATTAGTTGGCCAATTAATTTCCTTCTATTTATAGTAGAGACGGGGTCTCGCTCTTGCTCAGGCTGGTTTTGAACCCCTGACTCGAACAATCCGCCCGCCTCAGCCTCCCAGAGTGCTAGGATTACAGGCGTGAGCCACCGCACCCAGCTTACAGCATTTCTTATTTATTTATTTATTTAGAGAGTCTCACTCTGTTGCCCAGACTGGAGTACAGTGGCATGATCACAACTCACTGTAACCTCAAACACTCAGGCTCAAGCAGTCTTCCTGCCTCAGCCTCCTGAGTAGCTGGGACTACAGGTGTGTACCACCATGCCTGGCTAATTTTTTAAATTTTTTGTAGAGATGGGGGTCTTGCCGTGTTGCCCAGGCTGGTCTTGAACTCCTAGACTCAAATAATCCTGCCACCTTGGCCTTCCGAAGTGCTAGGATTACAGACATGGGCCACTACACTCAGCCTCTATAAGCACTTCAAAGTCAAATTGAATAAGCATTCTCTCAGAGGTTCTACAAGAGGAATTCAAATTTCTTCTGAAAGAAAGTGGTAAGTGGTAAATGAAATACCATCAATTTTCAAATGCTTCCGTAGATCTTTCATTTCTTTTTTTTTCAAGTTCATAGTTCAAGTTTTGCAGAATGGCTTCTACTTTATTTTCAAGGACTTTCCCTCCTTAAGAAAGAGATGAAATAAGAAAAATCCTTAATTATGCCTAAAATTTAAAAATTCTAGTTACGTCTATGTCTTAAATCCCACTGGGAGGGAGAAAAGCAAAGTTGCAATGCAGATGTTCAAGAACATAAAACCAAGGTGACAGGATTGGGTGGGGGTATGAGGAAAAGAACATCTTACACATATTACAAGATACCCAGCTAACTTTTTAAGTAGATATCTAAAGCAAAGAAAATGAATAAGATTTATTATTCATTCTTCATTTATTATTCACAGTGAAGAAATATGTCAGAAACAACAGCCATGATTGTGTCTGCTAGTTTTAAACCTGCCATTAAAATAGTAATTTCTCTCTACAAAGTTAGTGTAAACCTGAGCTTGAGCTATAAATCATAAGAAAGAGAAAAAGAGTAATACATTGTTAAATATAGCACAATGCTTGAGAATGTGGGTTCAAATCCTGACTCTTCCCAATTTCATATTGTGTGACCTTAGCCAAGTAAATCAATATCTCTTATCTGTGAAATGGTGATAATAAAAGTACCTCATGGTATTTCTGTGATAATTAAATATGTTAATAGTTATAAAGTATTCAGAATAGTGCCTAGTACTACACTCATTAGAAATTGGCCCACTCTCATTACCATTATTTTATATAACACTGGAAGTTCTTTTTTTTTAAATGGTAAATATAAGATTTATTATAAATTGTACAGTTTTTAGGTACCATTTCTCATTCCTAAAAGAAATGTGAGAATGAGCATTTCTGATTGTAATACAAGGTTAAAACCTAAAAATAAAATATCAGAAGCAAAACCCAGGGTTTTCCTTTGTTTAGATGGGAAGCAGCATTGGGTAGGTTTGGGGTTAGAAAATTTTCTAAAAGCATTTCATTTCTGCCAGCACTTTTATATTGAATTTAATTCTGCTTCTGGTTGTCCATGAAACATTGTGTCAGAATAAAAGCTGTCCAAAGATTCCTTACCATAAAGAATTTTATCTTCTTTGAATAGGCACCTTTAATTTTATCATTAAAGTTTCTGCAAGTTTAAAATCAGTGGGATGTTGATAAACTGGATCTCTCTCCAACTAAACTTTAAGCCTTTAGAGAGCAGGTAATGTGTTCCCCAGCATCTAGCATGATGGGTGATGAGACACTAACTTTACCACTCTCTTTATTTCAAAGTTTTTAATCTCTTATACTGATCGTTTCCATTGTACATATAGAAGAAAGAAAATGCTGGTGTTTACAACTTCTACTTGTAGAGGGATGGCTTATAAAGAATCATGGGACACTTGGCACTTGGGTGAAGGAAAGTTCAAGAAAAAGACCACACTTAGTGCTGAGAACCTTTGGAGTTGTGAACTGAAATGCTACACAAAGTGGGAAAATGATTCTTCTCAAAAGCCCTCGAGCCGGGCGTGGTGGCTCACGCCTGTAATCCTAGCACTCTGGGAGGCTGAGGTGGGTGGATTGCTCGAGGTCAGGAGTTCGAAACCAGCCTGAGCAAGAGCAAGACCCCGTCTCTACTATAAAGAGAAAGAAATTAATTGGCCAACTAATATATATATATGAAAATTAGCCGGGCATGGTGGCGCATGCCTGTAGTCCCAGCTACTTGGGAGGCTGAGGCAGAAGGATTGCTTGAGCCCAGGAGTTTGAGGTTGCTGTGAGCTAGGCTGACGCCATGGCACTCACTCTAGCCTGGTCAACAAGCGAGACTCTGTCTCAGAAAAAAAAAAAAAAAAAAAAGCCCTTGAATTTTCTGTAAAGTCTACAAAAATCACAAACTGCTAAATGTAACTGTATTTCTTTTGGAAAATGTTAAGAGTCAAGTCTGCATATTGGTGAGCATGGGGCCAAGACCAAATTGGCTCATATGACTGTGACAAAATGAGCCAACATGGGCAGGGGGACATCTTGATCACTTATGGTGAATTTCAACAGACATTTCAACAGTTCACATAATCTATAAACAGAATTGTTTTTAATACAGTGCATTTACTGCAGTTGAAAACATGCAGCCATAGTTTGAGACAAAAAAGAATTCAAAAATATGAAAATACATTTTGAACCCAAGAATAAATGAACACTAAATATTAAAGTTTCTTTTTAAGGGAAAGGATATTCATTTTTGTCAAACATTTATAATGATTTGGGCTCAAAAGCTATAATTTTTATAGGATCCCATTAGTCTCTTCTTCAAAATACACTATGTTAGACCAGCCTAGAGAACACTTGACCAAATCCACTTCTCTACACCCATTCTTCTCCCATTGGAAGTGAATGTCAACTAAGTTTCCAGTTTCTTCATCCAGCTCAATGTCTTCTTCATCCAGCTCAATTCCAGTCAGAACTGTCTTCTTGGATATTCCTGAAAATACTTGATACTTTTTCAAGTGCTTTTCTACATAAGGAGAAACAATAACTCTATGGCAGCTGTGATTTATATAAAGAGGATATTCTCTCTTTTGCAAAATCTTGTCAGCAATTCCAATTTCCACAAACATGATGACAGCACTTCTGGACTGTTTATCATAGTCCACCCATTCCACCTCTCCACCTCCATTTCAGGATTTACAAAAGCTCGGTTCTAGTTTGTCTCTCATCTTCAGGCAATTTGTCAGGAATTCCAGTAACATTGATTTTCATTTTAGAAACTTATACGTGAACCTGGAATCTGACTCGTGAGTTTAATGGAACCGGCTTGGCTATCACCTCCATGTTTACATCATCTATCTGCACCTGATGTTTCCTCAATCTTATCACATTTAGGGCAAATTATTCTTTTTCAAAGGTGATAAGTGCTTGCTCTTTTTGTAGCTCATAAGGAACTTTTGTGCTCACCTGAAATGAACAGAAGACATTTGAAAACTGGATGTCATCCTCAGGAGTTTCAACTAATAAGAATTTTATCTTTGTTTCAGGAATATCCTCTTTAACCTGGAATTCTCTGGTGGTCTCTTGTAACTCAGCTTCAAGCTTTTGGATCTTTTCCTTTAGCTGAATATTTTCCTTTGTTATTTCACCAATTAATATCCCCGTCTGCCCACCGAACCCTGATGATCTCTGAATTGCCTTCAGGGTCATTCTTCCATTGTTTTGACCAATAGCTTCTGGCTTCTATTGAGATGGCTGACTAATCTTATAAAATGGTCATTTGGCCACACCTTTTGTGTTTTCTCCTGAATAGGTTTTCTCATCCTTTTCAATATGGATGGGATGACAATTTTCCAAATCATTAAGTTCAGTTTTTTTCTTAACAATGTAATGTCTAAGTCATTATGTCCCCTTGTGTTTCACTATAAGCAGTCAGGAGGAGCCAAGCTGCACCTTCAACACTTTGCTTAGAAATTGTTTCAACTACATATCCAATTTTATTGCTCACAAGCTCTACCTTCCACAAAACACTAAAACAAGAACACAATTCAGTCAAGTTCTTTTGCCACTTTATAACAAGGATTGACTTTTCTCCAGTTTCCAATAACATGTACCTACTTTCCATCTAAGACCATGCAAAGACCTAGTACCTTTATTTGTTGCAAAAGCATAGGTGATCCAAAACAGGTAGATAAAAATGTTTAATTAATGAAAGATTAAAATGGTGAAACTATCAAGAGAATAAAGGGATGGTGGGAAATCTCATTAAAAGTGTAAAGAATGAAGTAATTTCTTACTTACCTAAAACAGCACCTAATTCTTTCATCAATGTATTTAGCTGGACTGTCTCTTCAGCTGTAAGACAAAGCAAAATTCAGATACTAATAAAGCTAAACTCAGAAAAACCCCACAAAGCATGGGGTTGGGAACCTGTGGCCTTAACGCCTTATGTGGCTTTTTAGATCCTTAGATGCAGCCTTTTGACTGAATCTAAATTTTACAGAACAAATTCTTTTATTAAAAGGGGTGCAGCAGAGAAAGAGTAAGCTTTTCCTGCCTCCTTTGATGCTTAAAAAAGAACAATTTTGAAATCAGAACGCCGCAGGTTCCCCACCCCCTTGAACCATAAAATTTATCTTAGGTAAAATGTTCTCTCAAGTCTTTTGGACACAATCTGTTTCTCATTCCATGTTTCTCTTAGAATGTCTAACACATACTGATATAAATTTAAGGCCATTGTTTATGACATTATGTTATTTTTAATCACTGGAGAAAAACAATGAAAGAATCCCAGGAAAAGGAGCAATGAAGAGCATAGTATGTAGTGAACTAAAGCTTTTAAATATTTCTTGAGGGAAAAAGGCCACACAAGGAATGTAAAGATAGCCAAAAGAGGCTGATTGGAGTCAGAGTAGTGCCCAGTAAAGGTTAACAGTTTAGACTCTGACTGTTAGACTATCTGGATCTGGGAATACAGCATTGAAAAAAAGATAAAAATCATGGCTCTATGAAATTTACAATAAGTTATTTTATTCATGGCTATATCCCTAAGACTGTAACAGAGACTAGTACATAGGTATTCAATGGATATCTGTTCAATAGATATTTATATCAATAGACCATAAATAAATAATTAGATGGGTAAAATCATAAAAATGCTTAGCACTGTGCCTGACATATTGTTAGACTCAATACATACAAGCTATAAAGGATCATTGAAGGGTTTTATTTAGGTAATTAAATATGAAATGTCCAATTTTGAATCAAAAGTGTAGTTTATTATATTTCAAACAAGAATCAGTACAACTAATCAAAGTGTGCACCTAAAGTATCAACACAGTTTTGCCATCCTAATGGTAGCTTGTTTATGCCAGCAAAGAAGAAGCCTGGATAGTGAGTGGTGATGAAATTGTGAAAGGAGTTTTCCGTAGCTGTTGAGAATTTAATATTTTTCCTTGCAAGAAGTGGTCCAAGGCTTGGAAGAAGTGGTACTCAATTGGTGCAAGGTCTAGTGAATATGGTGGATGACAGAGAGTTTCCAAGTCCAGCTGTTGTAGTTTGAGCAGCGTTATTGGTATGACATGTGGTCGAGCGTCGTCTGGCAAGAGGATAGACCTGTCTCTATTGACCCATTGGCTGCTTAATCACAAGCATTCTCATCATTTCATTCCATTGGTTGCAGTAGACATCTGCTGTAATTGATTGACCAGGTTTCATGAAGCTGTAGTGGATAATACCAGCACTGGACCACCAAACAGACACCATTAGCTTTCTTTGATGAATTTTCGGTTTTGTACTGTGTTTCAGAACTTCATCTTTATCCAACCATTGTGCCAAGTACTTGCAATTGTCAAAAAGAATCCATTTTTCATCACGCATAATAATACAGTGTAGAAATCGTTTGCCTTTATGCCATGACAGCAAAGACAAGCTTGAGATGATTTTTCTCAAGAAAGACAAGCTTGAGATGATTTTTCTTCTGATGCTCATTTAATTCATGCGATACCCATCTATCCAGCTTCTTTACCTTGCAGATTTGTTTCAAATAATCTAATATTGTTGGAATAGTAATGTCAAACCTTGGTACTAATTCATGCATAGGATGATATGGATTTACTTCCACTGCAGCTTTCAGCTCATCATTATCCACCTTGGTCTCAGGTTGCCCATGTGGCTCATTTTCAAGATTAAAATCACCAGAATGGAACTTCTCAAACCATTGACTACTGTGTGTTCATTAGCTACATCCTTCCCAAAAACTTTGTTGATATTTTGAGCTGTCTGTGCTGCATTGGTTTCACTAAAGAACTCATATTCAAAAATAACATGAATTTTCAACTTATGTATAGTTTCACAAAAATTGCTCTAAAAAAATTTGAAAGATGATCACAGCCAGCATGTGTGTTTGAAAGACTGAGGATGTACCTTCATGATAAAAATAAAATGAAAAGTGTCAAAGTGAAATGTCAGAGGTATCAGCTGTCAAACTTAGTACTTAATGAAATCAGACATTTAATACTTAATAACCTAATAATTTGAGAAATAACAAGGTCAGATTTTCACCTTAGGTAAATAATACTGGTTAGTTTATGCAGAATGGATTTAAGAAAACAATATGGCTGTTAGACCACTTAGGATGCTTTTGTAGTAGTCTGAGCCAGGGATGATGAGGATCTGAATTAAGGACAGACTAGCAAAGATAGATATTTGGAATATTTTTTTTTTTTTTTTTTTTTTTTTTTTTAGAACTCTATTTAGAAGATAATGGAATATTTTTAAGAGGAAAAAAATAAGGAAGCATGAGAAGCTACAGATAATTTGTGGATTATTGCATGGGTAACTGCAGGTGAATAATGGTGACATAAAAATAAAAAAATAAAGAATTAGGAGTGAATTAGTTTACTCTTTTATATGCTGAACTTGGATTACAACTGAAAAATCTATGTCTCAATAGTGATTTGTTGATATAGGAGAAGACCTCTTAATCAATCTCAATTTAACAAACCTGATTATCTAAACTTTATTCTTCATTCCTACCTGTAACTTCCTACATTCAGACTGATGTTGATGGCAAGCCAAACTTTCACCTCTAGTAAGCTTCAATTTTAGTAAGCCAGTGGATTTGTGTTCTTATGGCTTGAGTTGTTCAGTTTGTTTCTAGACTTGTTTATAAATAGTTCTACTTTTTAGTAAATTGATGATAATTTAATCGTTATATAAACTGATGAACTATAAGCAGAAAAGAGGGCATTTTTCACATAAAAACAGATTTGAATGATTTGGAAAGTTCTGGTAAAGGTGAATTGCTAAAAATTTCTGTTGAATTTGGTATGGATAAGATAATTGTAAAAAGATTAGAGAAATAATTAAAATCTAGATAGATTTTGACTGAAACTTCTAGTCAACTTTTAAAGAAGCCTTTGTTCCTCTTAAAAGAAACTGAAATTGGGAGTGTAGACAATAAATATGTTTATGTAGGGAAATCTCCAAAGACCATGCCTACATTAAAGGAAAATGGCCTTGGGTCTATTTTTTTTTTCATTCAAGTAAAATGTTTGAGGTATGTATGTATCATTTTCATGATTCTTTACTTTAACTGGATTTTTAGATTATTTGACCAACTACTTGTGCCAGTCATGCTAGATAAAAGAACTTTACTCTCCTAGACTGAAACTCTGGGATAAGTCTAGGTTTGAGATAAAAGACTTGAAATCTGAAATATATACAGGTAAGTGAAATCATCTGGGAAACATGAGGCTGGGGAAAGAACAATAGATTGAGAATTGAATTATTATATTACTATCCAGTGTTTTTCAAACACTGTAAGGAACAAGAAAGGAATATAGTAGAATAGAATGATTCTAAAATAGGACTGTACATTCATGCTGCTATATTACTTTTCTTCTTTACTGAGTATGTGTTTTATTACAATGAAAAAAAAATCATTCATCTCCTAGTATTAGTATTACTAAGATTTCAAGACAAACACCAAAACTTTAATCTTGTCCAGATAATGGAAGAATACAAATTGGAACTTTTCCCTCAAATCTTATGTTAGGAACAATCCCATAGAGAAAAATGTTCTTAAGGAAGAATGAAAAGCTAGAGCTAAAGATGATTAACATAATACTCTGCAAAACAGAACTTATTTTTTGTTGCCTGTACTTGAAAATTATTTATCACTGCTTTTGACTGAAATTCTTATCTGACAGCCTTTACTCATCACCTTTTGTTTTGTGTTTTTATTTATTTATTTATTTATTTTGTTTCTTTGGGGCTGAGCAAGGAAATATCCAAGAAACTCTAAGACTTTCTGCTAAATCACAGTACAGGAAATTACTTGGTAAATTGCAGATCTACTGAAGGAAGCATAAACAAGGACTCAGATAGGAAAGAAGGGTTTATATTTTAACAGTACAAACAAGGGTCTAAGACTAGGCTTTTTTATTGTGCTTTTTACTCACATTTCAGTGACTTTAAGCCTTTCATCAACCTTTCAGATACACTTTTCCATCAGCTATAAAAAATGGGACATTTTGAAAACAGAGTCAGAAGATAGTACACATCTCTTAATTTCTGAGAAAAGGAATTTAAGAATCTTTGCCTATGGAATATTTCAAATGCAAATAGATAATATACAGATCAAAATGTTCACACTCAGTGGCACATGAGTAAAATGCAAATCATAACAATTAGATGCACCTCTTCCCTTTTTTCTGTATTAAGAATGTAGGAAAAATAACATTCTCAATTGTTGTTTGAGAGAGTTCAAATTACAATTACTTTTCTGGAAGGAAATTTGACAAAATAAATCAAATATCTTCCATTTTTCAGATAACTTAAGGGAATTTAACCTTGGGAAATTTTAGGATGTTCACAAAGATTCATCTACAAGGTTGCCAAATTTAAAAAAAAAGAAATATATTCATAGATAGGAAACTAGAAATATACATCTCTAGTTTTTGACAGTACTTATTGTTTTGAGGTAGGAATAGAGATGTTTTTATTTTTGCTTATCTGCTCTATCAAGGTTTTCTATGATAGATACACACATTAACATTGTGAAGAGATAAAAATTACAAATAAATTCATACCCATTGTTATATAAGTATTATCTATTATCTAACATATATTTTACTTTTTTTCTTTTTTTTCCTCCCTGAAAAGTTCAGAGCATTAACATATATTTTAAAAGCACTGAAAGGAAATGCACTAAAATATTAACATTGGTTACCTCTGAGTTATGAAATTAAAAGCATTTTTTATTTTTATGGTTTTTGGTTTTATTTTGCCTAATAATGAAGTTAAGAAATGTAGCCTTTTCTCAATGTACAATATTCACTTGTTGGTAAACTATATATTCTATTCTGCAGAAACACACACAGCTACAGTATTTAGTTTCTTTTTTGTCATGTCTCTACTCTTGTTCTTCTCCCTTTCTTTCTGTCTCTACTTTCTTGTCTCTTTTATTTTTCTTTTAATCGGTTTTCACAAGTCCAGCTGATTAGCAACCTGAAGTTGTGAGTAATGAACTTTAACTCTGATAGCCATTTATAGTTGAAAAGTTTGATGATTTTAAATTAAAATCTAAGTGATGAAACTTTTCTTTGTATTAGCATTAACTTTTAACATTTTCAAAAATTTTTAGCTTATTTTGGATTTTTTCAATTTCATTTCAGAATATTACAGGGGTATAAACACTTTGGTTACATATATTGCCTCTGTGGCGACCCAAGTCAGAGCTACAAGTGTGCCTGTCCCCCAGAAAGTGCACACTGCACCCATTAGGTGTGAATGTAGCCATCCCCTCCTCCCTCCTTCCACCTGGCTGACACCCAATGAATTTTTACATAACCACAAAACCAGACTACCTAAAAAAACCCACCGGCATCCATAAGATGTACCATTAACTGGCAGTGTCTCACCAGGTTCAAGCATTCATTAGGCATGAGCTCAATCCCCAAGTTTCCTAAAACACTTTTAAGTTTATTGGTATCAACTTTGTCTCCTTTGGAAAAAAAAAAAGAGTTGTTGACACATGGAAATTTTAGGATATTATGATCTGAAATAATAGAAAAGCTTGCCCATATAACGTCATCCTTATTTTTATATTCTCACATATTCCAACAGTGCTTAAGGATGAGTGAGACAGAAGTTAATCCTTGATTCTTCATAAAAAGGGAAAGTAATCTCCTAAACCTAGTAGCAAGACATCCTAGCATTAAAGAAAATCAGATTATATAATTGGCTATACTAATTTGGGGTTATCTAGACTTTTTTCTTTTTAATGCTAAATCATGTGATTATTATTTAAAGCAATGCTTATTGACTTAATCCTTTAAAAATATTCATTTTCCTATTCTCTGTGTCTACCTAGATTTTGACTTGTTAAACCAGAAGTTATTAACTTCAAAAGTTCACGGAGTATGGAGGTGGAGGAAATGAACGAAATTGGCTGTGATGAAATGCCTTGTCCAAAGAGGAAAAAACACCAGCTATTACTGTGAGTGAATGTAGAGCCAGTGTTGCAAGACTTTACAAAACTTGATGGCAGTTTGGATTCAACTCATGGGTGGCCAACTGGTGACCTTTGGTTAAAACACTAGTTCAGATCAGCATATCATTGTCCCAAATCACAAAAAATATAGTTTACTCAAACATCACCATTTATTTTTAGTCAAAGGCAAAATAAAATTAGATGTAAATGTTTCATTATAAATATGTAAAATATCAGCATTAATAAATTTATGATGTAATATTGGAAAAATACCATGCAAAATATAACAGAAGATTGAATTAAAAATGTTTTAGTGATGTCTTACTCACCTGTATAAGATTTCACTTCATTTTTTTTGAGACAGAGTCTCGCTTTGTTGCCTAGGCTAGAGTGAGTGCCATGGCGTCAGCCTAGCTCACAGCAACCTCAAACTCCTGGGCTTAAGCGATCCTTCTGTCTCAGCCTCCCAAGTAGCTGGGACTACAGGCATGAGCCACCATGCCCGGCTAATTTTTTTTTTCTATATATATTAGTTGGCCAATTAGTTTCTTTCTATTTATAGTAGAGACGGGTCTCGCTCTTGCTCAGGCTGGTTTCGAACTCCCGACCTGGAGCAATCCACCCGCCTCGGCCTCCCAGAGAGCTAGGATTACAGGCGTGAGCCACCGCGCCCGGCCCATTCATCAACTTTTTAAGATGAACTTTACCATTAACTGTAAGATAGGAATACATTGGACAGAAACATGACAATTAAACTTTGAAAATGATGTTGCACAGAGCAAAAGAATTTAGCAGTATTGATTTGATCTAGAAAACTTAAACTTTTGCTACACACTTCATAAGAAAATAGAAGAAGAAAGATGAAAACTCAAATGATAATAAGGAACAGTGTCAGAGCATGGGAACAGAACTGGGAAACAGTAGATCTTGGGAAGAGGTTGGCACTTCACAATCCTAAAGACTGATAAAGACCAATAAAGGTTAGTACAAGGATGTTTCTGGTTCCTATGACTCCTAAAACGCCAAGAAGAGGTAAAACAGGTGGGCAGAAATGTTCATGCACCTGAGGTGGTGAAAGTACAAGGATGCCAGAACAGAAGCTTCCTCTCTATATATAAATTCAAAAATAATCTGTCGTGGAATGTGTAATACTAAAGGGCAAAGATTCTTGAAATAGAAGAGAGATTACATAAGAGAAATTCTATTAAAAATAAGAACAAAATTACCTCAGTAAAATTTGGGAGCTGATTGTTTATGAGAGTTGGGAATGTACAGTTGAGCAAGTAAAGACATTCCAGAGATCAAATGGTGGGGAAGTGGTGGGAGGAGTAAGAGTATTCTAAAAGTACCTGCCTATTGGGATTGTGTGTGTGTGGTAGGGGATGAGATAGAGGTGAAAGAAAATACCTGATGGGAACGGGTATCTTGATGGGGAATAGAGCACTATTTTGTTGCCAGTAATAGTTAATTCATATGTAAGTATGATAATGAATTGAGAGGAAAGAAAATGTACGAATTAAAGGAATGAGAACCTCCTCTGGAACTTTAAAATTAATTAGCAAGAAAACAATTATAATGAATGACAACTTGAACAAACCAGTAATAATAAGTAAAAGGAAAAAAAAAAGAAAAGAATAGTAGAAAATAAAAAACATAAAATAAGTTGAAATAAAATTAAGCACATCTAGTATTACACTATGTCTGAAAAAACTGAAATTTCCCATTAAAAGGGAAAGATTTTCAGATAGATTTTTAAAAAACCCAGCTATGTGATATTTTCAGGAAATATACTTCAACCCAATATCTAAAATTCTCACCATCAACTGGCAGGTTTTGTGTTATATCTTTAAGTTCATTTTCAGTGGGATTCATGCCCATGTTTCCAAAAACTGTATCCACTTTACTGGAATCAATCTGCCTTCCTTATTAAAAAGAGATATATAAACAAAAGTTAATGACCTTAAAATGTGGAGGAAACTCTTAATTTCTAAGGATTATGATTATCATTTATTAAAAAGAGATATATAAACAAAAGTTAATGACCCTAAAATGTGGAGGAAACTCTTAATTTCTAAGGATTATGATTACCATTTTCATTCAAAAGACCAAATCCTAATGAGATATATACAAGAGTAAAAAAGAGTCAATAACAGAGTTAGAATTAGAGCTTGTTGTTTTAATCATCATGATAAGCATACTCAGTCTAAAATTTTAAAAGTCATTGAATAACTTCTCACAGAATTCCAGCAAGGTGACAATAAATCTAATTTCTTTAATTTTGTCTGGTTTCCATTGTGATTATTTTTATAAATAACTTCTAGTTATGTTAAGGGATGTTGGTTTTCTGATCCCATTTTCTTTCTTTCTTTTTTTTTTTTTTGAGACAGAGTCTCGCTTTGTTGCCCAGGCTAGAGTGAGTGCCATGGCATCAGCCTAGCTCACAGCAACCTCAAACTCCTGGGCTCAAGTGATCCTACTGCCTCAGCCTCCCGAGTAGCTGGGACTACAGGCATGTGCCACCATGCCTGGCTAATTTTTTCTATATATATTAGTTGGCCAATTAATTTCTTTCTATTTTCATAGTAGAGACGGGGTCTCACTCTTGCTCAGGCTGGTTTCGAACTCCTAACCTCAAGCAATCTGCCCACCTCTGCTTCCCAGAGTGCTAGGATTACAGGCGTGAGCCACCACGCCATTTTCTTTTAAAAAACATTTTATTTAAGTTAAAAGGTAAGTAAATTTAAATAAAAATGTTAATAAGTAGTACAAATGGTGTGTGGATTTGGCAGATGTCACGAAGGTGGTTGCAATGATAGAAGAGTGGAAACCCATCTCAGATGTGACACTCCCTTCCTCCCTTCCTGGCCTGCTTCCTGTCTATCTCATTAGTCTTATTCCCTCCACTTCCTTGGAGCCTTTCAGCTTTTTTTTTTTTTTGTCCCAAATGTCAAATTAATAATCTCTGATGCTAAATAAATTAACTGAAGATGTGCTAATTTTCCCTTTACTTTCTGCTATGAACCCTGGGCTCTAAAAATTTCTTCCTCTGTCAAAGTTTGGAAAATCCCAAGAGAGCACAGGAATTCTTTCCAAGTTACACCATAAGAAATGATCTCCTAAAGGCTGATGTATAAGAGAAACAAAAGTGTGTTATAAGTTTTAGGTGGCAGTATTCACAATTTAATAACAAGGAAATAATGTAAATGCCAAAATGATAATCTCAGAGTCATAATCACTTTATTAAGCTTCTTCCTCAACTCTAAGACACTTTATACCATCCAGCAACCTTTTCTGATAGACCTTTCCATCTGTAAAAAAAAAAAGGCACTATTCAGATCACAGAAGAGTACTTTAGAGTTTCACAGATGATATAAAACCAGTAATTTCAGAAAGATATACTTTGTGAATGCCCTTAGAAATTTTCTAACTTACAAATATTGAAATTATATAGAGTGTAGGGAAAGTTTTAACTTTAATAATATAGGCAATTAATTTAATAATTTAATAATATAGGCATTTATTAATTGGCTATTATTATAGGCATATTATTATGGGCATTATTATTATAGGCATTTATTGGCACTGACATTCTACCATGCCAAAACATATCTTTTCCTTTTCTTTTGTGATATTTCCATTTTCCCTTTACTAGATCACTACCTTCTGTTTCTTTTTCTCATTTATTCTGACTTGAATTTTGTATCTTTCAGTACAATCAAAAGTAAAAAAAGACATAACTGAACTCTGATGATAGAAATCATGTTGACACAATTGTAGATTCTCAAACTGAAAGTTAAATAGCACAATTAATCTTTTAAGATATAATAGGATCATTTAAAATTATGTAACATGGGTCATACATTATTTTTGGCAAGCAACCAAATGCAGACAATTTTGGAAGTGTTCACAATTTAATATAAGCTTTTCTGAAGATAATGTTTTTATTTAAAATACTCACCATCAAACTGGCAGATTATTTACCAGGCTGAGAGTTCTTTATCTATGAGCTCTATCCCCATGTTTCCTAGAACTCTTTCCATGTTGTTGACATAAACTTCCTCTCCTTCAGACAGATAGAAGTAACACATAAGATTTTAGAGAATTTTCTAACTATTCTAAATAATAATTCAATCTTCTATCACTGTTTATTAGCCTCCCTACTCGATGATTTACTCAAATAATAAAGTCAAATGAGTCTTATCTGACTATAGTTATGGCAAAAATGAAAGATGTAATTTTTTTAATCTATAATAATATAGAAAAGACAAAAGCATACACTAAATACATTAATTCATAATTTTCTATTGTGAGAGATTACCCAGCAGGTAATAAAACTTTAGTCCCAGTTTTATTACACTAACATATGCTTTTAGTAAATATCTTTGAAGTAGTCTGGAAAAAATGAGATTATAGGGCTTGTTAACAAAAATGTGGAGTATGTATTTGTTGCTAAAACATTGAAAAGCTAAATTAAACTCTAGAAATTGGAATACAGTTATCTCATTGAAAAATAGCTTATGTTAAAAAAGAATAAAAATAACCAAGAAACCCAAAATATGTATAAAGAATCAGAATCATATACCTTTGGTATTATTTATATTTAATTTATAAATAATATATTATTTATTTTATATGTTATCAGCACAACAGCTGACTAAATATGTGAAAAGTAACACCCTCAAGTGTTAGAAAGTGTTGCCAATTTTCTCAATATTCCTGTCTGGAGATAATTATAAGGCTGAATAGAATGAACTTGTATCTCTAACTTAATCAAAATCCTTAAAAAACAAGTGAAAGGAACTCTTGATATTCTTAGCCTTTTAAGAGACAGAATTTTTTTTGACCTCTACAAATGAGGTATGTTTCATTTCCTTTAGTATCTTTAAAATATAAATTACTTTCTCATGCAAGTAAGTTTTTTCCTTCATATTTTCAAAAGGCCCAACTTTAAGTTTTAAAAACTAACTTTGCTTTTGCCCTTTTTATTAATATATACTGTGTATATCCTTGCTACTTGTTTCATCTCTCTAAATTTAATTTAAGGAAAATAAATCAATTGACCAAAAAGCCCGAATTATATATATTTGGATCACTCTTTTCTCATGTGTAACAGCTTCTACTTTATCCATCAGTTTTTTCAGATCAACTTTCTCATAGGCTGTAAGACAAAATTAACCAGAAGGAACAATAATATGGACTCTGAAAAAAGACACAGGACAAGTTCTTTTATCAAGATTTATTGTTAAGTAGATAATCATGAAATAAACCTGGTTAAAATAGCCCAAGATTTAATAGTAAATAATGATAAAATTATCTAAAAGGTTGACTGGAGAATAAAATGCAAATTATGAAGTTTATTTTATCTTATATTTAAGAAAATTCAGGTTATAATTAATAGCTATTCAATAATTCTTAGAATAACAATGAATAAATGTGACTTTTAAAAGTGTGTTGGAGCTGGGCAAAGTAGCTCACTCAATCCTAGCACTTTGGAGGCTGAGACGGGAAGATCACTTGGGCGCCAGGAATTTGAAGCCAGCTAGCAAGAATAAGACCCTATCTAACAAAACAGAAAAAATTGCAGGGCATGATAGCACATGCCTGTAGTCTCTTGGCTGAAGCAGGAGGATTGCTTGAGCCCAGGAGTTCGAGGTTGCAGTGAGCTATGATGACACCACTGCACTCTATCCCAGCTGACCGAGCAAGACCCTGTCTCAAAATAAATAAATAAATAAATTTAATTAAATAAAATTAAAAGGTGTGTTGGAGTGTGATATTCTGGCAAAATTATACTATTGCATACTATAGCATCCTTTTGAACTTTGAAACAAAACATATGAAAAATAACTTTTGCAAAAATGATTGACTTTTTTCCCTAGGGTTCTTCTAAATTCTTTGAAGTCCAAATCATGCTATTTTGAGGGACTTATCATGTCATTATTCATGTGGAATATTTCTTCTTGAATTATTAAACGGTCTAGTTCTGCCACTTCCATAGTTTTAGTGGCTTTCGGTGTGATTCCAGCAGTCCTCCAACTTTACTTTCACTTTTTGAAATTATGCATCTTCCTTAATATAATATTTGTAAAGACTTATATTGCCATGTGTTGATGCAATGGACAGAGACTAGTGTTAAGCAGTGAAAAGTGTTTGATAGAGACTACTTACTTTAACTGGTCAGTTTAGTGATCTCCTGAACCAAACAGTGGATAAGAACTCAGCTACTGTCCAATCATTTTATATCATTTGTATCTATCTTAAATTTAAAACAAAATAAATTAAGTTAAAAAATTATAATTTAAAGGAAACTTTGTAAAATAAATTTAAAAAATACATAATCATACAAAGAAAAAGTAAATGATTCCTCCTTTTACCTCTTCTCACCTTTGTTACCACACACTACCATTACTAACAGTTTGGTATATATTCTTCCAGACATTTCTTATGTTTATAAAAGTATACTATAGACTTTTTTTTAAAAAGTCTTATTTTAAAAAAATCAATAATATTAGACATAATATTCTATGATTTGTCTATTATAGTAACAAAAAGAAAAAGAAAAAGAAAGCACCCATGTCCACAAATGGAGGAATGAGAACTAGCTGAACAAATTGGTTTATATCCTAGAATAATGCCAGTATTATATGAATCAGTTATTAAAAACAGGTGGTAGGTCCTATTTTTGTAAAACCAGATGATAATAATTCCTCTACTTCTCATTAGCACCTGTCACCTACCCTAAGATAAAGACTAAAATAAAGAAAAATTTATAGGCTTTACAGGAACAAAAATAAAGAGCCTTATTGGTTTTACTGTGGATTCTTCTGACAGCTATCCAAATGTCTTTTGGGCAAGAAGTAAATTAAACCTTTGAAGTAGTTGTAATTAATTCTGAAAGCTTACACACTGTTTAAAATCACAGTGTTTTCCATAATGCTCACCATCACTCAGAAGATCCTTTATCATATCAAGTTCCTCTTCTGTAAGCTTGATGTCCATGACTTCCAAAATGGCAGCCAGGTTATTTATATTAACCTTTCCTACTGGTGAATATGAAAAAAAAAGGGAAAAAATAAGTGATTATAAATAAAATGTTAACTATTTTAGATTCTAATGTTCTAAAATTTTAAAAATATATTCACATATGTATATTATTATCTTCAACTTACAAGTGTTACTTTTAAATGAATATATGCAGATAAAAGAGAATGACTTCATAACCTAGTATAACTGCTAACATTATCAAGAAAGGAGTAAAACTATAATAGATTTGTTCAACTCTCTGTAAGGCTAAAAGCAGAGTTAGAATTAGAACTTGTTTCCTCAAACCTTAAACATCCTATCCATGAAAAAGTTAGTGGGGGAAGGGTTGAGCAATTGTAACTGGAGAGCACCAATCATCTCCACAAAGGAAGAGAGATTGTATATGTTTCCTAAACTCTCACTCTCAGATTGTTTTCATCATTCTTGGTCAAATTTTGGAATAAATATCAAAGTTTTCCCTTCATGCCTTTTTTCCTCTTTTCCTATCTTTCTATCTATATGTCTTTCTTTTGTTTATATTCATACGAATATTTTTTTAGAGAAAGTTTGAAAACTACAAGCCAGTAGAGACCTGCCTTCTAAAATAAAGGTTATTATCAGGAAAAATACAGATGTGCTACAGGAAGCAAAATATTCTATTCTATTGATATAAATTTAACACTCAAAGATATTTTATATGCCTTCTCACTGTGCCTACTCACTTTTATTATGCTTCATGTCTGTCAGCAACCTGTTTTGAAACACCTTTCCATGAGCTGTATTAAAAGGTATATTTGAGATCTCTGGAAAATTGATATGGAGATTCATCAAAACATTATAAATTATATTATTGCAGAAAGATATATTTTAATAATTTGCTTTAAAAATTAATCTGCTTTATAATCACACAATATTGACATTTAAGAATGGAAATACTTGCCACAATGACAAACCTATCCATTCTTTGGTATTAGAGACATTGTTTATCTCTTCCGTGTTGCAACACTAAAAAATGTATCAAAATATTTCTTTCTGTTTTTATTCTATTGTTCTACTCCTCTCTTTTTTGTTGCTCATATTATAAACTTAATACCAATCTGATGGAGTAATACTTGTCACCTAGACAACTATATGGCAATGTAGTGAGGATTTTCAAGTTGTATTTAAAGAGGTAATGATAGGATTTCTTTTCAAGTCAAAAGTCCCTTTCTATTAACTTATGGAGTTTTGTAGTTGAAATTGTACTATGAAAAGATTGAGAATTGCTCACATAGGCCCATTAAACCAAGTTCCCTGGAAGGCATGTGACATTTATGTGGCTCACCATCAATAGGCAATGTTTTCAGCAGTTGCTTTGTGCTCCGTATCTGTAAGCTCAATCCCCGTGTTTCTTAAAATATTTTGTAGATCACCAGTATCAATCTTTTCTCCTTAAAAAGAGGAAAGATTCACAGGTAAAATATTAAGAAACAACCTAATTATTTCAAATTATCAAAACATATACTTGTGCTGCTATAGTCTTTTCTATAATACAAGAATGAAGCAGAAAGAGAATCTGAGATTTCCTGACAAAGATAGTCAAATGGTAAATTGAAAATGGAATTAGTAAATGGAATAGTAAATAGGAATTAGTAAATTATTAGTAAATGGAATGTATTCTTAATACTTGGAATAGCACCAGACAGTGCAGAAGAAAATCTGGCCATATAATTATTCAGAGATTAGCATGGTTAGTATAATAAAATACACAATGAAATATGACATATTTTCCTTTATTATGAAACCGATGTGATTAGCTGTTTGCAATGAACTTATTACCTTGATGCTTTGAATACTTCACCCTGCTTTTGTTGTGTCCATTTATTAATAGTTTTTGGGTCTATAAACACTGGTGAAATCATTTTATTCAAAAAAAGCATCAAAGAATGTAAGACTTATTATCAAGAAATAGTCCTTTAGTTTTACTGATAAACCCCAGATAATGTTAGAATAGTTTGTTGTTCAGTAGATACAAATATTTATCAAATGTTTCCCTCTAGGAGTTTTATAGTTTTAGGTCTTACATTTAGGTCTTTAGTCTGCTTTGAGTTAATATTTGTACATGGTGTAAGGTAAAGGTACAAATTATTGTTTTGCATATGAATATCCAGTTTCCTGCATGTATCCTAATACCATTTGTTAAAGAGTCTGTCTTTTCCTCATGATGTCGTCTTGGCACCTTTGTTGAAGGTCATTCGACCATATAGGCAAGAGTTCACTTCTGGGCTCTTGATTTTTTCTTTTGGTCTGTATTTCTGCCTGTTTTAATTGATTTTTAATTAAATGAAGTACATAATGACAGTTATTTGGATGGCTGCTGTGCCAAATAAGGCTACATTTGTTTTCTGCTTTACTTAATGCCAGAGAAGTTCTTTTAGTAGTTTATGAAAAAGGGTGAGATTCCAATTGTAATCCCTTATAATTTCTTGTGTTAAAATACAGCCTCCTCTGATGAAATTTGGTTGCCTGACACCTATAATTACTCTTCACAATATCTTAATAGAAATGCAAGTACAAGCCAAATAAGCAGACAAAAAATTTATACACATTCTGTATGACTTTTCCAGGAGTTCTGTAAAATACAAGAATAGCTAAACAAATTTTTTTTCAGATAAAGAGCTTATTTGGAAAAACAGCTAATGACAGTGAAAATCATCAGGAATAGGAAGACTGGAGAATGTCCCATGAGAACATTCCTGATCCCTTTGAAGTATTCCCTACTTTTGTTCACTTAAGCTGGAATTTACTTTATGACTCACCATACTTGGCCTTAATTCAACATTTCCTGAATTTCAAAATCTGAGTCCATAATTATGCATGAACTTAGGTCAAAGAATCTAGTCTAGGGATAAAGAACACTGAAAGCTATGCAGCTTATAAGTAAAGGGAACATGGCATATTGGCTATTCTTGAATCCTTTGTGATAGCTACTGGGCTTTTTCAGAAGTTCATGGTGGAAAAAAAGGGTGCCATGTGTCTTATTCCCTTCTATCTCTTGTCTACTTTACTTTCCATTTTGAAAGGCTGAGGAAAATTTGGCCACTATACATTTACCAACTGTCTTTCCCTGCCTTCTAACCCCCAATTTGTTTTCTTTTTCCTTTTTCTTCTTTGGCATGATCACATTCCTTGCTATATTCTCAGCAATTTTTAGTATATAGAGTGAAAGATATTGATGTGAAGTTAGTGAGTATTTTACAAGTTATTTCTTACATTTAGTCTAAATTCTTCTCTAAGATTTTTCTAAATGTTTCTGTTTTGCCAAATAAGCTTTCAGTTCTTAAAAACCTTTAAGCCCCTATACTCTTGGAGACTCAATTGTATCTTAAACACTCACCATCCACTGGTAGATTCTTTGCCATATCTTTAAGTTCCTTTTCTGAAACTTTCATCCCCATGTTTTCCAGTACTGTGCCCAGTTTATTGATATCAACCTTCCCTCCTAAGGGGAAAAAAGTTCATAAACAAAAATTTAGTGACTCAAAATGTGACAAATATGATTATTTTTCAGATATTATAGTTTTTTCAGTCTGAGGATCAAGGTCCAATGAGGTCAATTTAAGTGTAAAAAGAGGATCAATAATAGGGTGAAAGTAAAACCAGTTTTGCTGAGCCTGTTTTGGGGGACCAGCTATATAGCAAAAGTTTTTAAAGGTTTGCATATCTACTCAGGAAATTAAGTAGTAAAATATATAATATAGTGTTTCTGAATACAAAATAAGGCTTATTTTTCTTCTCTGATCTTTCAAATTAATTTGAGCAGATCCTGAATAGATTTTCTGATTATCTGCTAATCATTTCCTTTGCTATTCATTGTTCAGGCTTAAATTTTATTTTCTACCATGCCAAACATATGAAAATTCTAGTAGACAATGAAACTTCCATTCAGTGAAGACTATAAAAGATTATCTGCTAAAACATAGGCAGATCTATAAATGAGGTATAAATATGAAATATATATGAAATATAAATATACATTAAAGGTTAAAGAATTGACAATTCAATGATTACAAAATATTACAAGTGTAAAACATGTTAATATAAGGCTCTATTGCTTTTTACTATGCTTTCACTCACCTTTAAAAGATTTCACACCATCCATCAACCTAGTCTGCTAGAACTTTCCATAAGCTGTAAGAATTTAAGAATTTAACTTAAACAATTTAAGTCAAAGATATATAAGTTAGAGATCCATTAAGTAGCATGTAAGGCATAATTTTAGAAAAACAGATTTTATGATTTCTAGTTTATTATAAAATAAGAATAAAAACATGTATTGGGGAAAGTTCCTAATGTGGCCAGTCTTCCCATTCTTTGGCATTCAAAGCAATAAACTATTAGCCTTCCAACCATGTGGAAACACCTTCATTTCTATTTTCATTTCTCTAATTTCTCTCTTTACTCTCTTTTAGTACACTCCTATCCTTTTCTCTTTCTCTTATGTCCTAGAATTAAACCTCATAGTAGAATTAGGGAATAAAAATGGGCTTTTGAGTTTTGAGGCCAACATTTTTGATCGAATATGCAATATTCAGGTATATTGAAGACTTCAATGTGAAAGGCAAACTTTAAAACTTAAAAAAAAAAAGAGAATATCTTTATGACTTCATAATAGAGACACACAAAAATATAAACCTTAAGGGAAATTTGCATAAATTTTAAGACCATTTGTACATCATAACAAAAGTACAGAATAAAACCCAAATTGGGAAAATATATTTTAAACACATATAACCAACAAAAGCTTGGTATCTAGAACAGGGATCAGCAAAGTGTGTCCAGTGAGCCATTGACGCATCACCTGCTTTTTATTGGAACATAGCTATGCCTATTTGTTTACCTATTAACCATGGCTACTTTTTGCCTTACAACAGAAGAGTTGAATAATTGCAATAGAGGCAGTAAATCCTAAAAAATTTATCATCTGGACTTTTTTTTTTTTTAATTTTTTTTTTTTTTTTTGAGACAGCGTCTCATGTTAGGCAGGTGAGTGCCGTGGCGTCAGCCTGTCACAGCAACCTCAAACTCCTGGGCTCAAGCAATCCTTCTGCCTCGCTCCCTAGTAACTGGGACTACAAGCATGTGCACCATGCCGGCTATTTTCTATATTAATTAGTTGGCCAATTAATTTCTTTTTATAGTAGAGACGGGGTCTCACTCTTGTCAGGTGTTTTTGAAACTCCTGACCTCGAGCAACGCCCGCCTCCGCTCCAGATGCGTAGAATTACAGGCGTGGGCCACCGCGCCCGGACTATCATCTGGACTTTTAAAGAGAAAAAAATCTGCTTGCCTTCTGATCTAGAATATACAGAACTCTTACAAACAAGGAAGAAAAATAGAAGCAGATCAATAGGAAATTGGGCAAAAGACATGAATAGATAACTTCACAAAAGAGGAAAACACAAATTGTTTATAACTATAAACATATGAAAATATCAGTATTAAAGATATTCCCATTTCACATTTATCAGACTAGCAAACATTTGGCAATACCAAGTGGTGGTTGGCAAGTGAAGCAATAGGAATTCTTATTGCAGCATTCTTTAGTGTTATTTGTCAAATGTTCTGGGTTCTATCCTCCGATGCTCAGAGTTGAGGATAGATGGTCGACTTCAAATCATTTAAATATGTCTGAAATACAGGAAGAATTAAATATAAAAGGCTAACACATGCACACATTATAATGAAATTACAACATATCAGACATGAAGAGAAATCCCAAAACTTTTAGAAACAAACAAGAAAAAAAAGTCATCAAAAAAGGAAATCTCTATCCTCAAGAAAAAAGCTGATTTTTTTTTAATCAGTAAGTCCAGGTGCCAGAAAGCAATGAAGAAATGCCTCCAAAATTTTCAGGGAAAATTATATACAGAACTCCACATCTCAGCATCATATCAATCAGTATTGAGTGCCCAATAAAAATTATTTTCAGACAGTTAAAGAATTATAAAGTTTAATATCCATATGCACTTTTTAGGAAAGTTATTTGAGTATATGCTCTATCAAAATGGGAATAAAAATAATAAATAGGGAGATACAGAATATAAGAAATGGTATAATTAACACAGAAATACAAAGAAAGAAATACTAGAATGGCAGTTGTGGAGCCTAACTAGTAATTCTCAGCCCAAAATAGAGGAAGCAGCAAGAGAGCTCTGAAAACAATGTTTTCAGGTTGAAGAATGAAATGGATTCCAAGTAATATACACTGTTGGTGGGAATGTAGAATGATGCAACCATTTTATAAGCAGTAGGGAAGCTCCTCAAAAAATTAAAACTAGAACTATTATATGACCCAGCAATCCCACTTCTTGGTATATATCCACAAGAATTGAAATCAGGACCTGAAAGAGACATCTGCACTCCCATGTTCATTGCAGCATTATTCATAATAGCCAAGATATGGAAACAACCTAATGTACATGAATGAATGAATGAATAAAGAAAATGTGGTATACACATATAATGAAATACTATACAGCCTTTAAATAGAAGGAAACTCTGTCCTTTGTGACAACATGGGTGAACCTAGGGGACAATATGCTAAATGAAATAAGCCAGTACCAGAGGAATAAATACGGAATGATTCCACTTATATGTGGTATCTAAAATAGTCAAACTCAGAAACAGAGAATAGAATGGTGCTTGCCAGGGACTAGAGGGAGGAGGAAATAGGGAACTGTTGCTCAAGGGATATAAAGATTTCGTTATGCAAGATGAATAAGTTCTAGAGATCCCTGTACAACATAGTACCTATAGTTAACATTATGGTATTGTGCATTTTAAAATGTGTTAAGAGGACAGATCTCATGTTAAATGTTCTTAATACACACACACACACACACACACACACATAAAAGAACACAGGAAATTTTTGGAAGTGATGGATATGTTTAGTACCTTAATTGTTGTGATGGTATCATAGTTGTATAAATATTTCCAAATTCATCAAAATGTATACATTAAATATATGAAATTTTTGCATATCAACTATACTTCAATAAAGCTTTAAAAAACTAGCAATAGACAAAATGACTAAAGAGATGGATAATATTAGTGACATGGAGGAAGAAAGCATATGGCTTTTGTTCTCAACAACAAAAAAATATAGGAACAAGTATGTAAGAAATGATCCAAAATAGTAAACTAAATGAGAGTTGATTACTATATTAATAAGAAACATAGGCACACTTAATATTTAGAATTTAGAAGTTATACACCAGAAATCTTTTAAAAAACACATTTTTTCTCAGAAGTACAACTCACATGATGAGAGAATATTCAATATAATTCCTTTTTATTATAAGGCTTTTGTACCATTTTATTTTTCAAGGTATAGGCATTATTTTGGATTAAAAATGGGGCAGTAACAAAAAACAATCATGATATAGCACATCTTATATTAGCCTGGATAGAGCTGGAGCCCATTCTACTAAGTGAAGTACCCCAAGAATGGAAAAACAATCACCACATCTATTCACCATCAAACTGATCAACACTTAAGTGCACATATAGTAATAACATTCATTCCGGGTGTCAGGCAATGGGAGAGGGTGGCAGAGGGATGGGTTATACATACATCCGTAATGGTGAAGTGTGCACATCTGGGGCATGACACGCTTGGAAGCTCTGACTCTGGTGGGGCCCAAAGCAATATAGGTAACCTAAACATTTGTATCCCTGTAATATGCTAAAATAAAAAAAAGTTTTTTAAATGAGGCAGTAGTTAAATGGCACAATTAGGATTGCTTCTTAAGGCATACTTGAGTCATTTGTTCTTAATGTTTTTTTTGGATATTAAAATGAGAGTTATTAAAGTTTTCATGAACTGGAGATCGGCCTATGCCTTCTTGAAGGCTATACCTCACTATTTGAATGCTACCACAACAGGTACGATTTTCACCAATTCTGAATGTTCCTTCTCTGTGACCTCTATCCCCATACTTCCTAGAATATTTTTTACTTCCCTGATATTTAATTCATCTCCTTAAAAAAAGATAGAAATAAAAATAGATGAGGAATTTAGATATTATCTAATGATAATTAGATATTATCTAATGATAATTTAGATATTATCTAATTTTTTAAAAATATTTTAAAAAATTATCAATGACTACTCAATATTAACCACAACTGCTAAATAAACAAAGGCACAAGGAGGTCCATCCAACTAACTACTCTTAATAGGATTCAAAGGAAAAGGATTTCTTCTCTTAATCCCAGTAAATTAGGTTATTTCATAATGATGAAATCAAATGTAGCACACAATCAAATATGAATCATGTAATATTTTAGATAATTGATCTAAATAATTCTATACTGGGTAGTAGCCTTGTTATTATCCAAATCAGAGAATTACCTCTATCTTTACCAAAACTTACTGTGATACATTTGCCTGGATCATTATATTAATACTTAAATAATTTTATTTTTTTAAAGGCACAGAATAGTTAAGTTACACTACTAGAAAATACTGCAGAGAATAAAATCTTACTATTAACAGAGAACACTTAAGATTTATTTTTAAAATAGAGATAATACAAAGTGCAACTTTTTTTTTTTTAAGAAGATGATCTCCTCCCTTTTGTTGCCCAGTGCTGGGTACAATGCGTGACAATAATGCTCACTATTATTCACACTCCTGGGCTCAAGTAATCCTCCCACCTCAGCATCGAAGTAGAATAAGCTGGGCAAGAGCATGTAGACCACATGTGGCTAATTTTTTTTTTTTATGGAGATGGGGTTCTCGCTGTGTTGCTCAAGCTAGTCTTTAATTCTTAGGCCCAAGTGATCCTGGAAGTTCTAGATGCTCTGTGGACTGTTCACTCTAATAGTCTGGGCATTGAAAGAGTAAATAGGTATTATAAATTTGAGTCACATATGGCTTGTTTAAGAACCTCATTTCCCTTCATAATTTATTTTTTTTCTATAAATATATTAGTTGCCAATGCAATTCTTTTATTTATAGTAGAGATAGGGTCTCGCTCTGGCTCAGGCTGGTTTCGAATTCCTGACCTCAAGCAATCTTCCCACCTTGGGCTCCCAGAGTGCTAGGATTACAGGTGTGAGACACCGTGCCTGGCCTGAAGCCATCTTTCTTGAGAAGGCTTTCCAGATATTCAAATGGAATTGAATATTATGGTCCAAGTCTCTGGTCACTGCAAGTATATCAGCACTGAGTGTGCACCAAGTTCAGTAATGCTATGACTCCTGCAAGAGTCTGGTGGTACTGCCTTATTTTGCTTGGGTAAGATGCAAGAGAATTCCCTGGATTATCAGACAAAGTCTCTCAGTCTCTTTCCTCGCTCTCTGTGTTGGCCTGCTGCAGTTGGAGGAGGAGTAATGTGGGCACTCCTTTGTGGCCACCAGTGTCACACCTGAAGTCAGCCCAATTGCATCTAAAGCCAGTGGTGACCTGTTGCCTGACTACCTGTGATGTTTATTCAAAGCCCAGGGCTCATTAATCAGCAGGTGGTGAATCCTGTTAGGACTGGGCCATTCCCTTCAAGCCAGCATGTTTGCTTCTGGCCCACAATGGTTCCAGAAATGCTGTCTAAGAATTAAGGCCTGGACTCAGGGTCCTCAGGAGTCTGCTGGGTACTTTAACTTACTGTGGTTGAGCTGACACCCAAGTTGCAAAACGAAGTCCTCTGATCTCTTTCCTTTCCTCAAGAAGAAGACTAATCTCCCTGAGCTGTTCTGCCTGTAGTTGGAGGAGAGGCGATACAGGCACTGGCTTGGCCACAGCTGTTGGTGTCACATTGGGTCATGTACACTCCAAATCCACTGGCTCCCAGCCAGCATAGCCACCGGAATTGCCTAAGGAGTGCAGCCTTTGTGGCCCAATTGCCTTATGAATTTAGTCCAGGCCCCATGCTGTTCTTTTTCTGCTGGTGGTGGTGCTAGCTGGAACTTGGGTTTCAGGGCAGAGGATTTCCCTCTGGTCTGGCTGGTCAAAATGCTTCTTCTATGGGCACTGGCATTCTGCCATGTGCTATGTTCCCCTGTGCCAGAGTGGCCGTGAGTTTCAATGCAAAGCCCCACATTCACTTCATTCTCCCTCCCCTGGACACACAGATTCTCTCTCCATTTGCATGCTGGCATGGCACTGCTGGCAGATGGAGGTGGTGGTATAGGCAATGCAAGACTGCCTTTTCTGTCCTCTTCAGTGCCTCTTTCCTTGATATAATGTTAAAACCAGGTAGTATGATCACTCACCTGACTTTTGGTTCTTCTGAAGGTGCATGCTTGCAATGATAGTTGTTGAATTTTGGCGTTTGTGTGGAAAGACAATAGCTGGAGGTTTCTATTTAGCCACCTTGCTCCTCCCCATCTCCCATACTACACTTTAAACAGTGGATAGATCATTCAGACAGAAATTCATAAAGAAACAGTGGACTTTAACAACATTATAGACCAAAAGGACATAATAGACATATACATAACATTCCATCTAATAGCAACGGATTACACATTCTTCTCAAGTGCACATGGAACACTCTGTATGATAGATTATATGTTAGGCCACAAAACAAGTTTGAACAACTTTGAGAAGATTAAATTCATATCAGATATCTTTCTGATCACAGTGGTAGAAATTAGACATCATTAACAGGAGGAAAGTTGGAGTATTCACAGTTATGTGGAAATTAAACAACACACTTCTAAACAACGAATAGGGCAAAGAATAAATCAAAAAGGAAATAAAAAAATATCTTGAGACAAACAAAAATGGGAACACACATATCACAATTTATGGAATATAGCAGAAGCAGTTACAAGAGGGATGTTTTTAGTGATAAATGCTTACGTTAAGATAAAAGAAAGATCTTAAATAAAAAACCAAATTTATACCTCAAGGAATGAGAAAGAGAAGCAACCTAAGCTAAAAGCTAGAAGAAAGAAGAAAAAAATAAAAATTAGTGTGGAAATCAATCAGATAGAGACTAAAAAAATAATAGAAAAGATCAATGAAAGTAAGAGTTGGGTTTTTAAAAAGAGAAACAAAACTGACAAACATTTACCCCAACTAAGAAAAAGAGAGAAGACTCAAATAAATAAAATTATAAATGAAAGAGGGCACATCACAACTGTTAATAATACCACAGAAATACAAAGGATTGTAAGAGACTACAATGAACAGTTATACATCAATAAATTAGATAACTTAGAATAAATTCATAAATTTCTAGAAACATACAACATTAACAAGAGTAAATCATGAAGAAATAGAAAATCTATATGGACCAATAACAAATATGTGGATTAAATTAGTAATCAAAAACCTCCAAAAAAGAAAAATCCTAGGACCTGGTGGCTTCACTGGTGAATTTTACCATGCATTTAGAGAAGAATGAATACTAACCTTTTAAAACTCTTCCAAAATATTGAAGAAGAAGGAATATTTCCATACTCACTTTATGAGGTCAACATTACCCTGATATTAAAGCCAGACAAGAACGTTACAAGAAAACTATAGGCCAATATCCCTGATGAACATAGGATCAAAAATTCTTAATAAAATGCTAGCAAAACAAATTCAACAGCTCATTAAAAGGAACATTTACCATAATCAAGTGTGATTTACCCCTAGAATGCAAAGGTGGTTCAACATAGGCAAATCAATAACTGATATAGGCCAAGGTGGGCGGATCGCTCAAGGTCAGGAGTTTGAAACCAGCCTGAGCAAGAGCAAGATCCTGTCTCTACTAAAAATATAACTCAATTAATTGGCCAACTAAAAATATATAGAAAAAATTAGCCAGGCATGGTGGCACATGCCTTTAGTCTCAGCTACTCGGGAGGCTGAGGCAGAAGGATTGCTTCAGCCCAGGAGTTTGAGGTTGCTGTGAGCTAGGCTGATGGCACAGCACTCTAGCTGGGGCAACAGAGTGAGACTCTGTCTCAAAAATAACAATAACAATAATAATAACTGATATATCACATGAGGACAATGAAGGACAAAAACCATATGATCATATCAGTAGATGCATTAAAGGCACCAGACAAAATTCAACACCCTTTCACAATAAACTCTTGACTTATTAGTTATAGAAGAAATATACCTCAACACAATTAAGTTTGTGTATGACAAGTCTACATTTAACTTTATACTCAATAGTGAAAAGATGAAAGTTTCTCCTCTAAGATCAAGAACAAGACAAGGCCATTCACTCTCACCATTTCTATGCAACATAGTACTAGAAGTACTAGCATGAGCAATCAGACAAGAAAAAGAAATAAAAGGCATACAATTCATAAAGGAAAAATAAAATTATCTCTACTTGCAGATGACATGATTCCATATGTAGAAAACCCTAATGATTCAACAAAAAACCTGTTAGAGCTAATTAATAAATTCAGTAAAGTTGCAGGAGACAAAAATCAACATACATAAATCAGTAGTATTTATATAAACAAGTAATGATCTAACTGAAAAATAAATCAAGAAAATTTCATTTATGCAAGCATAAAAAAATACTTAGGAATAAATTTAACCAAGGATATGAAAGATCTCTACATTAAAAACTATAAAAGTGATGAAAGAAATTGAACAAGACACAAATAAATGGAAAGATGTTCTGTGTTCATCAATCAGAGGAATTAACATTGTTGAAATGCTCATACTATCCAAAGCAATATACAGATTCAATATAAGCCTTATCAATATTTTTAAGGCATTCTTCACAAAAATAGAAAAAACAATGCTAAAATTCATATAGAATCACAAAAAATCCCCAAACAGCAAAAACAATACTGAGAAAGAAAAACAAAGTTAGAGGCAGCACACTTTCTGATTTAAAATTATATTACAAAAACATAGTAATCAAAACAGTATAATATTGGCATAAAAACAGGCACATAGACCAATGGAACAGAGAGCCAAGAAATAAACCCAAACATATATGGTCAACTACGTTTTGACAAGGACATCAAGAGGACACATGAAGAAAGGATAATTTCTTAAATAAATGGTGCTGGGAAAA